AACATGGAAGGTGGGAGAAGCAAAAGTTATGAGGATGTGCGGCAAGAAAGCAACAAAAAGTAAGCAGAAATATATCGTATCGTGAATGCTTCGAGTTTCTCACGCTCATTAGAACCAAACTGACAAGGGGGATATGAGAATCAGCTTTTCGCGCTTGCGCTCTGATACCAGTTCCCTATTCCCTTTCAAACACTTTGAACACCAGATCCGAACCGAAACCGGTTCGCCATGTGCCAACTGCATGCAGATTAGACAGGACAATCCATAAAAAGCAAGGTAGTAGAATGCAGAATCCCAAGTCGTAAAATTCGTCAAGCCAAGGCCATCAAGGTTTTTCGTCCCTTGAAGGCCAGTATATGCTCATTGATTACAGTTCCTACTCTCCCTTCAGGCTTCCGATGAGATTACGGAGGGCATCTACAATGACTTCCTCATCTTTCGGTTCACCGCCGGGGAATGAGCTGTCCGTTGCGTTGCCGAGTACACGGGCTCGCGCACTCTTGAGCACCTCCCGGATGTAGTTCTTATCCTCGTAATCCTCCATGAGAACAGCCTCAAAATCGTCAATGGCCTTGTTTGCACGATCATTGAACGAGGACGCGTCCGAAGTATCCATATGACCTGGGCCGGGGCCGGGGCCCATACCCATGTTTGGCTGATGCTGCATGGGAGGCCCTGGGGGTGGCCCCGGAGGTGGCGGGGGCGGAGGATGCGTTGGATGCGTTGGATGCGTTTGATGCGCTGGATGTGGTGCATTGGACGGAGGCATTGGTGGAGGATTCGGCGGAGGATAAGGTGACTGATGTTGGGGTTGCGGAGGCATTGATTGCGATTGCTGTTGCTGCAGCTGGACCAACTGCGGCGGCGGATCGGATGCATACGGTGAGGTGTAGGTGGATGGAGTGGTCTGAGCGAAGGCGGGCGGAAGGTTGTTGCGGAGCGGACTGGGTATTGGAAACGGGGTTGAGGCGGCGGGTTGAGAAGGCGGGGGATAGGGACTCGCATGATGAGGTGCCGGAGGAGCAGGAGACGGAGCGGGAGCGGGAGCGTGAGTGTGAGTTGCATAAGGGTTGGATGGCATAGCAGGAAATTGGAAGTGCGGATTGGCCATGCTGGGCTGTCCATTTGGCTGAGTGCCATATGATGGATTCAATGCAGGCATGTACGAGGGAGGAGCGGGAGGCGGTGGCTGCGCCGCTGGCGGAGGAGGTGACGGGCGCCTCTTCTTCTCCTTCTCAACAGAAGCTCCAGGGCGGAGCTGCCAGGACCACCCCTTTCCATCCCGCTCAGCATGCATGAAAAGATGGCTGTTTCCGTTTAGGTTGTGCCGTACACTGGACGTCCAACCTTCGGTTTCGCACTTGAAACGGAAATATGGATATTTCAACTTCAACGCTCGATAAATCTGCTTGAGTGTCATCGGAGTACCAGCCTCAGTGAGAGCATCGAAGATGAGAACGGCGTAGTTGTAAGGCGGCTTGGCCAGATCCTCCGGGGTATATGCCGACTCGGGAGGATAATTCGGAGATGGTGACCGCGAGGGTTTGCGCTTCTTGACCGGGGGCGCTTTGATGAACTCCTCCGGGCGATGTTCCATAGGAAACTGCCCACCTTCGGTGGAAGGTAGGGGAAAGTCCATCGGAGTGCCATCGGGCTTCTTTCTCTTGGTATACTTGCGTTTCTCGGGCTTCGATCCGGGCGACTCTCCGCCCATCTCCTTGGGCGTAACAGTCGCCGTCGTTGAGGCTGGAGCCTTGCCAGCTTTCGGCCGGCTGCCGGGCGGAGGAGTAACGCCTCCATTGGCCTCGCGCTTCGCTGCCAACTTTTGTTCTCGAGCCAATTCTGCTCTCTCTCGCTTGGACATGATGCCATCCTTAGGAGGACGCCCAGGACCGCGACGTCGGATTGGTTGTAACGCCGGATCGATAGCTCCCTCCACAGAAGGCATTGGTCGCGCCGAGTCGGGCTCTCTGGTTTTTAGTATGAGTTTCGTTGGCGGCCTAGGAGCGTCCTTATTCTCCGCAGATTCGGACGGACGCCTCTGCATCTCAACTTCGTCATCAACGGCAGGCGCTGGTGTTTGAGAGGCTTCCTCCCCTGTACCCAGGGGCTCCTCGACGCGGTCAGCACCAGTCTCACCAATTGGCACATCTGGTAATAGAAAGCGAATGCGGACACCTCCAATCTGGATGTAATCGCCGCTATGTAATGGTCTGACCTGACCAGGTGATAGCCAATCTGCACCAATGAACGCCCCGTTTCGTCCCATGACCTCCATCTCAAACAGGTTTTTATCAAAGTTGTAGGCGATTTTGACATGTTTGCGGGAAATACCACGGTGGCCAGCGGCACTGCCGTCAACGGTGGCGGGAGGGTGAATGGGGATTGTCGGACATGCGTCAGGCGAAGGGAGCAGCGCAAGAGCATCAACCGGCTTTGCATCGCCATTTTCATCATTTAATGACTGCATCGCTAGGGCATTGTAGTCGGTGGTGTTGTTATCGGTCGATTGGAGTTGAGCTGGAGTTGCATGTAGCGGAGCGCCCGATTCCGCATGGGAAGAAACTGACGATCGACGGCTAAGACGAGGGGGAAGATGGGAGACATCGGGGTCAAAACCCATGATTCCACCACGGTCACTGACAACGCTGCCCATCATACCGCTGCCTTCATGCTTCACACGGACGGGGGTATGCGACATGTTTCCGCCACTGGAGCTCTTCGCCCGCGATGTCCTTATTGCTTGTCGAACTTGTATTTCGCGTTGATGCGCAGCGCGAGCGGCTCGTACATCCCGACCAAGGATAAAGGAATACGTGTTGCAGTAGAAATGACCGTCATCAAACTCGAGCTTCGCGAATGCCTGGATCCGGGGTTCGGAGCCGGTGACAGAACCCGAGCCATCGTGCGGTAAACCCGAATATCCAAGTGCGGAGAGATCGGCGCTTTGCGATAGATACGCGTCTGTAAGCATCTCATTATGTTGCAATGCATCGAATGGATTCTTCGAGGAAGACGACAGATCGAAGGGTGTGAAAAGATCAGCATGATCGATGCCGCCTTTTGCGAAGAGCAATGGATCTGTGAGACCATCGATCGAATCGTTCATCTTAACAGTCGGGTTCGAGTCTTCTTCGGGATTCGTCAGGGACATATTGGGTTGGGGGTCGAACTTTTCCTCCTGCTGGCGATGCGAAGATGGCTGATCAGTCGATGTCGGCGGGATCTGATCCGCGCCTCCGCCGGTCGAGTCGGCAGGCGCAGTGGCCATGGGCTCCGAAGTCGAATCTAACGTCCATTGGAGATTCGATTTATCGTCAACCTGGTGCGGTTGATCCGTCGCTTGCGGGGCTGGTGGCATTGGGTGGTCCTCAGACGGCGATGGACCGGAGGAGGATTGGTTGCCAAGGAGCTGGGCCAGCAGCGCACTGGCGGCGGATTGACGACGGAGATCGGATTGAGAATCATGCGGCGCAGGAGATATTGAAGATTGATCGTCGGGTTCGGATTTAATTGTAGTTGAGGAAAGAGCGGGTAGGCCATTGGGGGAGGAAGCATCGAGGGGATCGGGGACAGGATCTTGCAGAGCGCGGATTGCGGAGTCGTTGGGCGGGGATGGATGCGGTTGAGGGTCAAGATGCTGTTGCTGGTGCTGCTGCTGTTGTGATCGAGGATAGTCGTACACGGACGACATATCCGGGGCAGCATCCGGAGGACGATGGCCCACCGCTGGCGCTGTCATGGTCTGCGACGACGACATGACCGGCGGCTGGTCTTGAACGGGGGTCGAGTAGGAGAGGATTGGGGGTGGAGGGAGACAAGACGGAAGAGGAGGAGGAGAGAAGTCAAGGGCGGTGAGCCCGTCTCCCGGCCCAGGACGGCCTCTGACTGGTCGGCGAAAAGTAGTGCCGGCGATATTTTTTTTTTCATGGAGTTTTTTCTGCCGCTTCCGGTGACGGGATGGCCGGTACCTTTGGGGAAATTTGTATGGGGACGAGGTATTATTGAGGTATTTCCACGTATTCGATCGGTGTGGGCCGTTTATCCTTTATCCAGTTTATTTATTGCTTGGTTCTAGCCTCTGTCCATCAGGCACATCTGGAGAAGATAGGATAGTTACCTCCTGCAGTGCACGCCAGCTGGCACTGCTTCAGCTTCTGATCCAAGTAAACCCAGGGTGTTGGCGATGTTTTACTATCTCCTGACATGCAGAAATGGACGACTCGGAATATACATCCCATTGGACTGGTCTCTAATGGCATGCAGAGGGTGAAACACCAGCATCCAATTAATTGCCTGGGGCGACGGGAGGTTTCAGACGGGTAGACTTTTCTTATTAGCTGGCAAAGACCCGATTCGATATGCAATACTTGACTTGTATATACGTTATCCAATTTCTTCCCAAGATGTCCTCGAAGATCGAGTCTCAGAGGTCATAATAGACTCAATCAAATCAAGGTCATTCCAACAACAGTCTTTGCTGGTCTTTGATTTTGACTATTGAAGTTGAGCTTTGATAGATTGAATAACTGAAGCCTGCTCGGCCCAAAGTCATCAATTCGAATCTAGAATGTCTACAAGCTTTGGGCGCTTTATGATCTCGATCATTGGAATGCCTCTTCTGGACCATAAGTAAGTATACATGAGACTTTCACCATGTGTAGAGTTACCTCACTTAGCCATGACTGCTCAAGCTACCATACCATCCCCTCACGGGTACAATACATGAGGGTTCAATTCGCAACCACAGAACCCTTTAATCAATAGTTCAGTATACAACAAAGGCTCAAGAGTAACAAATTAAAAAATATACTAGTTACCTTAGATATCAGCCTTCCAAATCAATACCCGCCTATGATCTCCAACCCGTCCAGCCTGATGCCTGCACCCCAGATCGCCCCCTCCCGGGGAAGAAACAGTAGCCTACCGCCTACCCGCCCATACAGCAGAACCTGGAAACTAAACTGTTTCCCCTCACCTCTCATCCATATCAGCATCCACTCCACACAGTCCACCCTCCAAACCCCCCTCCCCCACCACCACAGTCTGACCCTTGTATACAACCCATCCCCAATCCCCAATCCCACGAGAACCGGAAAGGAAAAAAAAAGGAAAATGCCCAAAAAACCCCCACCACCAACCACCAAACCCAAAACCAAACAATCATTCCCCCCCAACCCCATTGCATCATCAACTACCCCCAAAAGCATCCCTTGGCCACCTCTCCCCCCATCCCCCAAGAACCCCTACTACTACCCCAGCAAACCAACCCTCCAGCTCCTCATCCCCAACCAAGCCTACATCATCCCGGATTTCTTCGCGGCCCCGCTCTGCAAAACCTACACCAGCTTCCTCGCCGCCCTGCCGCTGGTGACCACGCCGAACAAGCCCAAGAAGGGGGACGCGGTGCGCGTCAACGACCGCTTCCAGGTCCAGGATGACGGGTTCGCCGCGCAGTTGTGGGAGTATACTAGTCTCCAGCGGTGTGTGACGGGAAGGACGAATCCGGTGGAGGAGAGGTTGTATTCGTATGATGATGATGATGATGATGAAGACGGGGAAGTGACTCGTCACATCGATAGAGAGGATGACGATCCCAGCAAGAATGGGATGTGGGGTGGGGAGCCATTGGGGTTGAATGGGAATATTCGGATCTATCGGTATACTAAGGGCCAATTCTTTGATAAGCATTGTAAGTTGGATCTGATACTTCAACATTTCTTGGAGGGGGGAGCGGTGGGAATAGAGAAGGGGGTGGTGATAGGCATCTTAATTAACCTCGCCAAACTAGACGATGATTCCAACACCCTTACTTTCAACACGCCAGGGCAACCGGCCAGGCCGGCGCGCACAACATGGACCCTGCTCATCTACTTGACGGCCTGTGAGGGCGGAGAGACCATCTTCTACCCGGAGCCCACGCGGAAGGACCGCAACCCCCAGCCGGTCGCGGTCAAACCCGTGCCGGGCATGGCGCTGCTGCATCGACATGGCGAGCATTGTATGCTGCATGAGGGGGCCGAGGTCCGGAGCGGGGAGAAGTGGGTGTTGCGAAGTGACCTGGTTGTTGCGCGGTGAAACTACTTACTAGTCTATACATCACCAACATCCAAGTCAAAAGCTCCGAGAAAGTACAGTACTCTACCGAAAGTGCTCCACAAGCTCTACAGGCCTATCACGACTGACAAAAGAATATGTATCCACCATTGTCAAAGACATATTATGAACAAAGAAAACACCTGGACGGACACCGGACCACACCGGTGCGTCCACTATTAGACACATAAACAGGAGGTTGCATCTGTCTGAAAATCCCATAATGCCGTGGCAAAGAATAAGTAAAAGACCAATGTTTCGCCAATGAACCGGAGGGCAGCTTTTCTTCGACCTCATCTTGCATGTATCTCAGAACCCACATCTCTCCAGGCAGGTCGCAGGAAAAGCATCAAGTACATTGAACAGAAAGATAATAAAACATAACCCCACCCCATAGCACCTTCCCAGTTCGCGTATCCTCGTCTAAAAATGTTTGTATGCAAATCATGACTGGTTTGGCTTCGACTCATACTCGGCCCGTCTCATGATATCCTCCACGGGACCCAGTAACCGCTTGAAGCCATCGCGACCCAGCCGAGCAACCTTGACCTCCGAGCGGGCGACAATGCTCGCAGCCCGAGGCTTGTCATCTAGCAGTGCCAATTCACCGAAGTAATCACCGCGCTTGTAGGATTTGACGACTCCGTCGAAGTCCTTCTTGAACGCATCTGCTTCACCAGCCTCAAGCAGGTAGAAGGCATCGCCCGGATCACCTTCGCTGATAATGGTCGACCCAGCGGGGTATTTGCTGGCGTCCAGCGCATCGGCAATCTTGGACCGTTCGTAGGGCTTGAGGCTGGACAGGAGAGGCACTTCCTCCAGGAAAGCCTCGTACATACGACGACGCTGGAAAGCAGAATCCATCAGAATGCGGCGGAAGGTGATGCGGTCCAGGGCCCAGAGGGTGCTCTTCGGATCCACGGAGACGACGGTCGCGGCACGAGGAGCATTGTACATGAGAGCCAGCTCTCCAAACGAGCCTCCAGGGCCAATGGTGCTGACTTTGTTGCCCATACCTTCGGCGCCTGGCTGCACGGAGCCCGAAGGGTGGATCAGAACGTCAAAGTGGCCTTCTTCAACGATATAGAAATAGTCTCCCGCATCACCCTGCGAGATCACCTTGATGTCTTTGGCGGGAATGGGCTTTTCCACCAGCGCGTCGAGCACAGTCTTGAACTGATCGTCATCCAAGTGGGCGAAAAGGAAGTTGTTGCTGACGGCGGTCTTCAAGCGTGCGATTTGCTCATCTGATTTGGGGTGATGCGGCGGGGCCCAGCTGTCCGAGCCAGCTGAAGTGGGATTCAACGACTCTGCCGACACCGATGTCCTCCGTCCCAAGGCGTAGTTGTTGGGGAGGCCAGGGTTGGGAACACCCGTCGGGCGGATGTCGCCTGGGGGGAACTCGTCGGCAGCCTCGTCTTCCTCGCGCGACCCATCGTCAAATGGGCTTCGGGTGTTGAAACGAATGGCACCACCGTCACCGAAACCACCGCCTGTGAACAAGCTGTTGCCGGTCGAGGATGAGGCAGCAGCGGGAGCGTTGGCGGTGCGAAAAGTTGGATCGGTTGGTGACGTCACCTCGTACTCGTCCTCCTCCGAGATCCTGTGAAAAGTGGCGGGCTTGCTGTCGTCTTTTGTGCCCAAGCGAAGGGGTTGATTACCCCCAGGAAAAGTGCTCTCGGCCATTCTCTGGAGGAAAGGGCTGGAGAAGGTGAAGTTCCGGCCTGTATTAAGCGGGGAAATTGGACGCTCGGGCGACCACGATTGCAGCGGCCGCGATGGAGGGGAAGGACTCGTTTGAAGTAGTTCGGGAGCTAGATTTGAGTCGACTGGTGGTAGAGAACAAGACGGGTGTCGAGTTTTGGAAGGAGAGGAAGGATATAAAAGAGGGGCGGTAGTCATGGGAAAGGTGTAGGAAGGAAGATGGGGAAAAAGAAGGAAAGCTCAGAGAAAAGAGGAGGAGGGGGAGGAGGGGGGGGTAAGGGAAGTGGGAGGGGAACAGGGTAGCAGCCGGCTAGTAGCACACCAGCAGCAAAAGCAGCAGCAGGAGCAGCAGGAGCAGCAGCAGCAGCAGCAGCAGCAGCAGCAGCAGATGGAGGGGGAAAGCTGATGAGGGGCGGGTAGGGAAACCGACCAGCCCGATCGCTGAATGGGAATCAAAAGTGACGGATTGTGGTTGAGGTGGGGAAGACTTCAGCGGCACCCAAGGTCTTATTGGATATTCCTGCTTCGAAGCTCGGGAACCTTTCCAGATCGTTTGATCCTTTTGCGTTCGTTGGTTGGTTTGAAGTCGCAGCTTGCCGTGGAAGCTGATGCAAACCGCTTAAAGTTGAGAGATTATCGAATTCCAAGGAGAATTGAGAGCTTGGCTTGAGGGTTGAGGGGGAGTAGGTAAGGTATAATTCAGGAGATCCAGAGACACAATCGAAACAATCTAGGAGTAGAACTGTGACAGCAAAGGATGACAGTGAGACAGAGGAGAGAATTAAAAAATTAAAGAAGTTGTACTGTAGTTGTAGTAAGTGAGGTAGAAGTAGGAGGAAGTAAGAGTGAGAGTGAGTAGTGAAGTCACCAGCTGCAAGCTTTGGGAGGGGCACCACCGCTCAACTTAAATCAGGGTCGCGTGGGAACTTGCCTGCCGGAGATGAACTAATTCTCTAAGTAATCAAACTAACTAGTAGGAATTATTACCTACTAGAATGATCACCTAATGAGAAAAAAAGGGGCAAATACTCAAGATGGTGTGTAGTGCGTTGTGATGGTGGTGGTGCGTGTGTGGTGGTGCTACCGTCTACGTGATCTAGAGGGGTCGTTGCAGAAAAAAAAAAGGGATCACCCAGACAATAAAGGAGGGAGGAAAAGACACGAAACCGCGGGAAGCAGCAGCAGCTTGCTCCATAGTCATCTTCAGAAAACTCTTCGAACTCAGAGAGTATCTTCGTGGTCCATCACCTCCTTCCTCTACCTCTTCCTCTCCCTCTGCATCGAACTGCCCAGCTATCTGTGTCTTCGTTTCTTTTCAAAGACCTTACCCACTGTGATGTCTATCAAAGAGAGTGGAACTATCCGATGAACATATTGTCAGTGGACTCCTTATCCAGTCGAGCTAATGGCTTCCATTCTCCTTCTAGAACAATTCAACTCCTTAATCAATCGGGTCTCGCGACTAGTAGCCCGTTGATTCCGTCAATAGCGGAGGTGGCCGGGTCAATAGTCTACTCGAACGACCACAAGAGTGGTTAGGAAGAGGAGGGTTGGGTGGGGAAAGCCTTGCCTGTGACCTTCCTCTCCTGATTAGAATCTAAAATAAACCGAAACTCGCGACGACAAGAAAAAAGGAGACGACGGGGCACCACAAAAGATGGGGAGGTCAATCCTTCCGCCGGGAACGGAAATGGCGTCGAAGGTTCGATTCGGTGGCCAAGGGGCTTCCAGATTTCTTCTAGAAACATGGTAATTCATTGCGCCACCAGAGGACGGGGACAGCTTTGGCACAAGCAGGAGTTTGTGGGATCCAATTGGGAGGATGTTGTGCAATAATCAACTTGTGATCAACTCCAACCCATCCCTTTTTTACTCGAATCTCCTTGATCAGGCGAAGGGTACTTCCCAGTTCTCATTGCCCCTCTTCTTTTTTATCATCCACTGTTCCCCCACCGATAGGTAGAACTTCAACGAGGTCAACATCTCCTCGACATGCTGCTGGTGGCAAACTTCTTGTCGAAAACGGTGCTGGTTTCCTTTGGAAGATCTGCTCGCTGAGGTCATATCCTGACAAATCGATGCCATCCATTCAATTAGGCTTTGTTGACGTTTGCTCGGGACGGGCCCCTTTTCTGTATTTTGGGTCAATGGATGTCAAGATGCCATCATGAGGGGATCTTTGAGATTTGGTCTTGCCAGTGTTGCTGCCAGGAAGTCTTTCCCTTCATCGCACAGCCATGAAGGAAACCATGGATGGTGGACTGATTCTGGCCGGGCCCTTCTCGAGTCCTCTCCCATCCCATTCCTGACCGAGTTAGACTAGGCGCCGTCACCGTTTATCTCATTCAGGATCGCCGTTCTCGAGGGAATCATTTTCGGTTTAGTGGGGGAGTCCGTGCTTTCCTTCCCTCCCGAGTCCCGAGTACCATTGACAGAATACGATCATGATTCACTGCCTATGTGCATGTATAAGATACCTTCAGGCTTCTACACACCGACTTACCCACTCACCTACTCACTTACACTGTGCGCAGGTTGCCTGCTTCAATTGAATCAAGTGCGCGTTGACTTCTGGTTGCCCTGCAGAATCTGGTCATATCCGAGGAATTGGCTCTGGAATGAATGGTGGTGGGGCCAAGGAGCTTCAGACTTTGAAGACCTTGATTCTTTCTTCCGATAGGGATGCTCAGGGTGCTTTTATCCTTGGTTGTTGCTGTTGTTAAAGTTTTCTCAAGAAAGCTTTGATCCCATACAACAGGTGAAAGAATTCGGTTATCGGAATATTCATAATCGGCGGCGGCAGCGCCTTCCCATGCTTGCAACAAAGGTTCCGATGACGGATAAGACACGCCAGCTGTCAGCACGGCCACGCACAGCTTAGCTGAGTTGTGCAGGCGAGGAGATTTGTCCGAGTGTCAGCCAGCACGCATCTAGAACCTGGAAGCGGTGATGGGAATACGCGCCAACCACTCTTTGACCCTGCGATAGGGACCCGCCAGGTCCCTTGATGTGCTGTTTCCCCCTGGGTAAGGTCACCAATGAAATATACCCCAGTAATTAGTTCAGTTGTCTGTGCTGGAGTTTAGGTGTTCAGTGTTGAGTATCCAGTGGTGAATTATTATTGAAGTGTGTGTGTGTGTGACTGCAGTTGTTGCTGTTGTTGGGTTGTGGCCGCCACCCCGCTCGCTCCAAGCAATCAAGTCAAATCAATCCAATTCGAATTTCCCAGCCTCCTCAGCATCATCATTTTCTCTCTTCTCTCCTTCTCTACCCTGTCTACGCCTCGTACCTACATAGCAGAACCCCTTCGTGGCTACTCAGGAATTTATCTTTGCTTTCCTCACTCTATTGTGTATTCTTGTTTAATTATCTGGTCTTTTATGCCGCTTAACCAATATTGACCTGTCTGAAATATTAACCCCCACTGAAGCACTGCGACAACCTACTATTTTTTTAGCATCCACTTACTGGGCGCAATTTCGAACCCCCCCCCCCCCAACCCTCATCTCCACTATAGAAGATGGGGACTTATACGTTTCGCTGGTAAGTTATTATTGAACTTCCCTTGCGATCAAGAAAATCCCCTTTCTCCAGTGCGAAGCCTGGACCTCCAATGAGCATCTATTGTGAAGGGTCTATGACAGGTTCTGCCCGTGCTTCCTGCTCCTATTATCCCCGACACTTTCCGGACCCAGCGCCACTGATCTGTGTTCGCTTCGCTGACCGTTGCGGCTCCTCGCATGGGGATCAACTAGGCCGTATAATGCAAACGAAGTGTATGTGACGGGGACATTCGATGACTGGGGCAAGACTGTCCGACTGGACCGCAATGGGGAGGTATTCGAGAAGGAGGTTGAGCTCCCAGCCGCAGAGGAGAAGATCCAGTATAAGGTAAGAACTTTTTTCCTCCGTTCATTCTAGCTTTACCCTACAAGCCCCTTCCTAACCTCTTTCCTCCAATTTCTCCATTTTCTCCTTGTCCCGTTATTCATTACGGACTGTTCCTTCACCGGGCGGCGGAGGATTACGTGCTGGGCTGATCGTCCTTATCGAGGGACGGGTGATGACGCTCGGTGGGTTGCACAGAGTCGCGCTGACGTCATGGCACGGCCGTCGAGCCCGCCCCGTCACTGGTTTTCAAACTATAAGACTCGCACAATTGTTGGTTTGCGCCATCAGGAGATCCACTAACTGACTTTTGTTTCTTTTTTTCTCGTGATTAAAGTTCGTCGTTGACGGTATCTGGACCACTGATAATCGAGTCCCCGAAGAAGACGACGGCGACAATAACATCAACAACGTGCTCTACCCCGATCAAATTCAACAAACACCACTACAGAACGGCATGGCCGGTGTAACCCCCAATTCAACTACCGCTGCTTTGGCGGCTGGGGTGCCCAAGGAGTCCAGCAGCAAGACAAATGGCTATCACCCCACCATCTCGTCAGCAGCACCAGGCTCGACAACTGCCAAACTCGGCCAGGAAGTCCCTTTGGAACAACGGGCAACTGTGCCAGGATCCTTTCCCATCACTCCCGGAAGCGAGGCTGAACAGTTCTCCGTGAACCCCATCCCTGCATCCAGTGGCATTGGCAACCCGATCAAGTTGGCTCCAGGTGAGAAGGTGCCTGACCCCAGCACTTTCAACCCCAACACGGTTCAGTCGACCGCACGTCTCGACAAGGGTGCGTATGAACAAGGCGCCAGTCTTTCTCGGACCGAAGATTCGTTGCAGGATGGCGGTGCTTTCTCCCTTCCACCTGTAACGAAGAACACCATCCCTGAATCAAGCTTGCCTATGGGCAGTGATGGCACTCACGATGTCAAAGATCCTGGCTATACGATCCAGTCGGCTGCGCCTACGTCAACAACGGCGGCACTTGCTGCTGCAGTGCCCCTGGAGTCTCAGAAGCACAAGCAGGCGACCGGTGGTTCTCCCTCCGAGGAGCTTCCAGGCGTGGTCAAGGAGTCCCTTGAGAAGGCACACCAGCATCCCGAATGGGCTGCCAACGAAGAGGTCGTCGAGGAGAAGAAAGAAGTGGAAGAAGAGCTTCAGCAGAAAATTAGCGTGAACAACTCTGTGGGCGCCCCAGCGCCTGCTCTGAGTGCCGCTACTGCGGAGACTGCTCCCCGTGCGACTGGTGCTGAGCCTACATACCAGCTTTCCTCTAAGGCAAAAGAACCAGTTGATGGCCCAGTGGTGACCACGGGTGTCGATTCTGCGAAGGCTCCAAAGGAATCTGGACCAGGCCCTATCCACGGTGCTCCTTCTGTTTCAACTGCCGGTGCAGTAGCCACCTCCAACCAACTATCTCCCAAGATTTATGAGCCAAGTGAGCCAACTGTTACCACGGGCGTCGATTCCGCGAAGACCCCGAAGCAGTCCGGCCCCGGCTCAGTCGATGAATCTTCTGCCGCTGCCCCTACTGCAGGCGTGACTGGCTCCAGTGCCACCAAGACAGCCGACTCAGCCGTCGATGTTGGATCGAACTCTGCCGCTGGCGATGTCTCCGCCTCTGGCCCTACCGCGGGCGTCACGGGCTCCAGCGCGACTAAAACCGCCGACGATCTGGAGACCAGCAAATCCTCAGGGCCTAAGCAGCTCGCTGAACCCAGCAAGTCCAACAAGGCCGACGTGACGTCGGCTCCAACTGCTGGTGCTACCGGTGCTAGCGCTACCAAGACGTCCGATTCAACTCCGGCTACTGCCAACACCAACAAGGATGCATCTACGCCCGCTCAGAAGACCGATGCTCCTACCAGCACCAACAACACCACTACTCCGGCCACCAAACCCACCAACAGCAACGCTGCAGGTGGCGCAGCAAACAACTCCAAGGAAGAGCCGAAGAAAAAGAAGAAGGGATTCTTCTCCCGCCTCAAGGAGAAGTTGAAGCATTGACTACATTAATTGATGACAGCGCTGAATTGACCTATGGATGGGTTGATTCTTTAACTAATGGTGTATAATGGGTGGAAGATTTCTATTTTCGTTCTTTATGCTTCTGTGATTATCGTCTGGATACCTTTTGTGTTGTGTGCTTTTTTTTCTTTCCATTCGTTTACTGCCTCAGGTACTTTAGGTAGGCTTATGGTTACGTATCACGAATTGATTCTATGATTATATGCTGATCATTAACGCGGTAATGACTATCCCTCAGTCAGTGTAGTCTAGTATGGAGTACATTGCAGATACGCGGTTCAAGTAAATATATTATTTATTATGATTAACGTCGCCCACCCACTTCTATCATGAAAACCCCTCCGGCCAACCTCAGAGAGGGTAAGTGATACTTATATCGGTATCGCATTACTAACAACCCCATTCACCTTGACCGGATACCCCAGGACACTGGATTTGAACCGGTTAGCCCACCATCATCTCCCCCTCGAAGGCTTCATGGCCATAGGATAGGTACATACTCCTTGCCTGTCTTCGTCAAACAACACCCGCAGAAGATCGATGCCGGGTAACAGATGACCTGCATTGGGATTTAGTTCGAGTCCTCAATGCTCTCTTACTTATTCTCCCCCGTCGACTCTCTGTGCAGATACAAATCGAACAAAACGATGATAGGAAAAGGGAGAGCATACAGCAGCGACAACCGTACAGATAAATCCTACACACAAGCACAAAATAGGGTCAGCGCGCTGAGAGCCATCCATCCACATATGGGGACGGGCAATATACCTAAGGTTGGCCCGACGACTTTACAGCGGCAGGGGTTCTGGTCGGTGCCGCATTGGAAGCAGATGGGGAGGATGGGGAAGAATGGGACGTCGCACATTTCTTTGGTGTCTGGGTGTCTGGGTTGGAGAGTTAAGGGGTGATGGCAGAGCTGGGGAAGAGGAGAAGGTGGATTGGGGATGAGGGGGAGTGAGGATGGGAATGGATGGATGGATGGAGATGGAGATGGGGAGATATGAGATACGCTTTAGTCGTGGTTTATCTCTCTTGCTATCTATCTGTGTACATTACGGTACGGTACCTGATTGATGCCTGGTGGAATCTGTGCAAGTTCTAGTCTTAGGCTTGCTTGTGGTGATGTGTTGCTGCTGCTGTGTGTGGTTGGTGGTGGTGATGGTGAGGTAATGCGGAAAGCATGATTCATTATGACGACAGCTTGGGGGTTGTTGCATTTGAATCATGGAAATTGAGGTAGCATTGGGTGTGTTACCGATCGATTTGGTACTGAAATCTGGATTTAGGTGGTTTTTAACTTGATTGCGCTGGGTTGGTGTTGAAGATCCAAATATTTCGTATTTGTGGTGCTTAGGTGGTAGCGGTGGTGGTTGTTGCCCTCCGCTTGGCAAGGATGTTGTTTCCCTGGGGGTGGCACTGTACCTTGCATGCCCATCCTTCGGAAGGATCCGATTGCTAGTCGCAAGTTGTGTCTGATTATCTCTTGGGCCAATTGTCATTCTTATGAGTCTTGAAACCTTGTACAGGCATGTCACGGGTGTGCATACAGTGTACAGTACATACATGAGTTGGGACTTCATCCGGGACAGTTAACACGGAGTAGTAGTTAGTACATATAGTTCTACTCCGTACATGCAAAAGACCCGTATTCGCCTGCGAGCCATATCCACAACTCTAACGTCTCTCAGGGCCCATGTTGACATGACAATGTCGATTGTGATCGCAAGCCACAATCCCGGAAAATCGCCTCCCATAGAATCATATTAACCACCTGCCCGGGAACCACCAAGACAGCTAGCTCCGCGCAGCCGGCTCAACCCCAAACACATCACACTTCACGCAAGCTGTGAAGGAACTAGCAGCTAACGAGGAAGTGATGCTTAGCATCTGAGCTACAGTAGGAAGCCTGCTCCTGCGGGGGCTACTGGTGAATCTTTCTCTTGCTCGAGTCATGAGTTTTGCATATTTGAATTGATGCTAGCTTATGTAGCAGCCGATAGGCGAGACCAGGTCGGTATAGATGCACCTCATAACACATAGCTGCGTAATCCAGTCTTGCAATCTCGTGCTTTCCTAGACTGTATCTCGTCAGCATACAGAATAACAGACACCATCAAGTTTGTGCAGGAGTCTATGCATAGATTCCGGTCACCTCTTGACTCCACAAGGGAGGGAGAACAGGCTGGAGCGGATAATTCCAGTCAATAGACAAGACCTCCATACCAAAGCAGGCAACAAACAATCACAGATCCAGTGCCCGAGTCAGCCCCCCTCACCCCCTCATGACTTATCTCCGAGGCTACATAAAATTACCTACTAGTACCTAGTAGTCATTTGGCCCCCCTCCCACGCCCCCTCAATCAATAACACGCGCCGTAGTCAGCAAGCAATGAACCAACCCGGTCTCACCCCCAATTATTACTTCCATAACCGAAAAAAACCGTGCAACATCCAATATACCAAAAATAAACCGCTACCACCAGTGTACTGTATATATTCCCCCGAATCGACTGCGCCTTGTACAGGAAAGAAAAGAAAAGAAAAGAAAAGAAAAGAAAAATGAAGCCAAAAATCCAGGCACCAGAATTTCCCCAGCGCTTGGCGGGAGGGAGGCTTGGCAGCCGACCGGTGGTTGGCCCTACAGGGCGCATATTATTTGGGACAAGAATTGGAGGCAGTACCTTACTCTGCACCTGCACTTCCCCATGCAATTTTCATATGTATATAAAGGGGATTACTTGGGGGGGGATCCATATCTCTTCCCATCGTACAGAGTTTTTTTCTTTTTCTTCCCATATTCTCACACTCCATCGAGGCTTCTTCGTTAAACCTTGATAACCAACAATCCTACCTACCCACTTCTCCACGGCTAGAAGTACCGAAACGAACCGGTGATCGGCCTAGCACCTACCCAGTACAGTACAAGAATAAAGGAACAAAGTGATTGGGGATTATTACATCACCCATCACCCATCCATCCACCCATCCACTCATCCATCCCCGATCGCAAAACAGCCCTACGCATTTTCTCTCCTCTCACCAACCGTCGACACATTACACTGCATCATAACATCACTGTATAACAGTACACATTACAAGTACACCACTCATCTTCGATCGACGTTTACACATCACATCTCTCTCCTCTCCCTTCACGTTCAGACCTCCATCATCCAAGCAACTGGACCCGTCACATCACCATCACACCGCAGCCCGCCACACCAGCCTCTTCATCCTCCTCGGCGTCCTCCTCGTCCTCGCCGGCATCGGGTATGTCGCCTACTCCATCGTCCAGGACGTCTCGCGCCACACGCGCTCCAAGATGGAAGGCAAGAACGTCCTGTTCACCCGCGAGGGGATGAAGGTGGGCGTGCGCGAGGTCCAGGAGGAGGAGTATGTGGATCGGAGTCAGAGGTTGGTCTTGTCTTTTCCCTATTTCTTCTGCTTGAACGGGCTTTCGGGTTTCGTTTTCCCTTCATCGGACTGAATCCCGATCGCTAACGGTTTTTGATTTTTTTTTTTTTTTGGTGGCGGCCAGTATCCTCGTCAACATGTGGAATCACACCTCGTTCCCCGCGTACAAGAGTCGGTTCTGGGATATGACCAAGCCCACGAATTGGGGGCAGGAGGGTCAGGCTGCGGAGAGTCGTAAGCGGAAGTGACTGGCGACGCGGATCAGGGGTGGGAAGGGGCACCAGGAAGAAAAGAAGAGGTGTCGTGCTTTTTGAGCGAGCAACCAACAGAAGCATCGCGGCTTTGTACTGTACTCTGGAGTGGGTATGCTTTGCTTAACCCTGCCTTTTGATTCAAGGAAGGTGGAAGATGTGCATGCATTATGCTGACCCGCGCTGCCTCCCTTTTTTTCCTTACTAAAGGAGGGCGCGAGGGCGTTAACGAGATATGATTGTCATGAGAAAGTGAATCAAAATTACATGAACATGTTTGAAATTAGCTCTAAACCTCATAACCCTGCCGTGTAGTCTTTTTGGCCATCACTCCGCTGCTGGTATTTACAGATTCTCATAATAGTCGTAGTCCTGGTTCAGCTTGTAGAACGGGTCCGGCTTGGGCTCGTTGCTGCCCCCGTACCAGGTCGGCGTCGTCAGCTTCTCCGGGGTGTCCTCCCGCTTGGTGTTGGTGAAGAGGTACTCGAAGGTCTTGGCCCACTGCACCCGGTTGTTGAGCCCGTCCAGGCTCCACAGCTCCTGCAGGAAGTGCAGGATCGAGGTGTGGGTGTACGCCGAGTTGTTGGCGTAGCTCGTCCCTTGATCGTGGATCAGGTGGTTGGCGGGCACCCAGGGGGAGATCAGGAACGCGGGGACACTATCAGTGTGCCTCCGAGTTAGCCATCGCACAGTGTTGCGGCTTGAGTGAATAGAAGGTGGGCTTACCGAACACCCAATCGAGTGTAATCGTAGGTCACGTTGTGGCCGTCCGACACACCGGAGAAAGTAATGCCATCCTCAGGCTGGGGAATATTGACAGGGGTGGGGACGTGGTCGGCGAAACCACCGTGTTCGTCGAAGTTGATGACGATCAGACTGATTGCGTTGTCGCTGTCAGTGCTAGGACGGATGGGGCGAGGGGCTATGAGAGACAATCGGAGTCCTTACACATTGTCCCAGTACTTGGACTTGCGCACCGCATCGTACAGATGCTTGATCAGCTGCTCGCCCGAGGCCATGTTGCTGGTCGGGTGCATGGAGTCGATGGTGCAGCACTCGGGGTTGTAGTAGGAGAACTGCGGGAGAGTGCCCTCCTCGAGGTCGCGGTAGAACTGGTCGGAGTGAACCAGGCGGTCCATGGCATTGTCTTGCACCCACTAGAGAACGGTGAGTACGCGAACTTGGAGTGACTGCGGGAAAAAGCATTACCTTGTACATGAAAGCATCGACAATGTCGGTCTCATAGTACTGAAAGCCACAGTGGGTTAGTCAATGTCCATGTACACATCGGACGGTTATAGCTCACGTTCTTCCATGTGATGTTCTTCTGACTGAGCGACTCGAAGATCGAGGTGGCACACGTGGTACCCGTGTAATTGGCATACCATCCAGCAGATTGGTAAGTGTTATCTACCATACCACAGGTAGAACCCGAAGTAGCAAACTGACGGTTGGGGTTGGTAGGGCCGGGGTGCTCGGCGTGCTGTTGCCCGTTTAGTATATAGACATATAGACATGAACAACACGACTTGCAGAAGACTCACATAACTATCCCAGAAGGCGAAGTTCTGGGCAACTTCCGCCAGAGTCGCCGTTTTCTTCTGGTCGTACGCCTTGATGACGAAGCTGGATTCGCCCGGCGTAGCACTGTATTTCTCCGACTGACGCTCAATGAATCCACCCATGTTGGGAACATCATCCTTGGTGACGTTCCACTTGCGGAAGATCTCGTAGGTGACACCCGCGAAGTTGTGGTCCGGGTCAGTGAGGGGCACCTCAGTCTCAAACGGCGCCGCGCAGACATTCAGAGGTTCACCCCAGACTGTCCAGTTGGGGTTCGTGTACTCGTTGCAGTAGTCGATGTTGCGCAGGTTGTCAATGTCCGGGTGGAAGTCCCAGTAGCCCGCGATGTTGTCGAACGAGTGGTTCTCCAACATCAGATAGATAACATGTTTGATCTGTCCCCAAGTCAATCAAATGGTTGCAGGAGACACAGGCAAACCGGGATCGAAGGTCAAAACCTACATTGGAGCGAACCTGATCCCATTGTGCACTGTTCCGCCTGTGGGGAACCGCAGTGGCCAGAGTAGCCAAAGCCGAGATCGTAGCCACGCTCAGCTTCATCTTTGTTTGATTTCAGTGTCTGCGGCTGTTCTTCACCCGGCGTCGTTCTTGCTCTTCGGATTCCAGTTCCTATTCTTTTCCTGCGAGGGGGAGCAGCGAGGTGCGATATTTATCTTCTTTCTCGCCCCTCTTCTCCCTTCTCACCACCCCCTAACGTCCCACGAGGCAGAATGCAGCAGCGCATGCCGGCTGCTTCGGCACACACCGACATCCTGCGGAGATAGGCAGGTCCACACGCGACATGATTCGAGTAAGTCGTCCCGGTTTTGCCGTGGAGCAGGATTTTTGTCTCCTCTCTCTTTTCAATTACGATGGACGGTGAGAATGACCATGGCCAATGGCACGGGACAAGAGAATGCACGCTGTGGAGTTGATTACTAGCTCGCGTGAGACAGTCCACATTCGCAGATAGAATGAGGAGATAGATAGGTATGGTCCGGATGCGCTCCGCTGCAGTTGGAGAATGAGGGGAGATGACCGTGAGGGTCGATGCAGTTGGAGGTCGCGATTGCGAGATGTGCATCAGCTGCTCGATTGATTGGTCTCGATCACGGGAGGAGAAGACTGGGAGAACGACGTTAGCCCGTACGCTGCCCCGCTTGCAAGGAACGGACGGGTTGAAGAGGGTCGAGAATGTGCGTGCTTAGTGGTAATAGTACAGGAAGTGGTCCTCTGCAGCGCGCTTCGAGGGCAGCGTGATTGCAGCGTGCTTGCAGCGTGCTTGTTTATTGCATTAGAACTGCATGCGACTTGACTCGAAGGATGGATGTGGTCTAGAAGAGTGCAGTGTGGAAGAAGTGCAGTGGGGGGGGGGGGGGGGTAGCGAATACTTCAAGGTTAGTAGATCCACTTTCGACCGTCGATTAGGAAATGGTCGAGTGTGATAGGCTGGCATGGTCCAAGCTTCAGGCACTCCGCAGCCCGGTGGGTCTCAGCCTGCATTGTCCCGGGGGTCGAGGCCAATCAGAGCTGCACGTGCCATCCCCCGCGACTGCAGTTGACTGCAGATGACCGCCAGACTGTGAGGCACGTTGTCCCTCACTCTCCTTCAATAGGCCTTCTCATGCGGGCACATGGCCGGAGATAACCAGGTACCTTGCCTACTACTGATGCTAGCTGAATGTGAGTGTGAGTGGAAGATGAGCATGAAAATGGGCACGAGGGGCATTCTTCCTTGAGCTTGCACTGACGCCTGTCGCTCAAACCATATCTATGACCGACGGGCCCCGGCCGGGCGTCTAATCTCGCTAGAGCTCATTTTGATCCATAGGATATTGCATCCCATTGCCTTGATTTACTCCCTATCTCTCACTTTTGGAGCAGGACCACAAAAGTTTCCTTTTCTTCGTCTCTTGCCCACCTTCCAAGTTCAGCAAAGACCCGTCGTGCGACTATCCTCTCTCTGTGGATATATTAATACCGACCTCTGTCACACCGGCTACAACTATCACATCAAATCTCCGGCATTGATTCGATTCGACGCGAACTTTCTCTTCCCTCAGACACCCCCCCACACAGCAAAGATGTCTATCTCCTCCATCAAAGGCTTGCTATCCAGCTACTCTCCCGTCTCCGAATTCTCCCCTGAGCATGACCTGGAAAAGGAATACCCTCTATCCCTGCGACACGAGAGCGATAGCGAGTCCACAGCCGGCTCAAGCAGCTCAGTATGTCGGGAAGGAGCGGAGAAGAAAGAGTCCAAACTCATCGACGGACGCATCGTTTCCGACGCCATTATCGGTCTCTCCGACGGCATGACGGTGCCATTCGCTCTCACCGCCGGTTTATCAGCGCTGGGTGACACTAAGGTGGTCGTTTTTGGAGGCATGGCCGAGCTCATTGCAGGCGCTATCTCCATGGGGCTGGGCGGTTACTTGGGTGCAAAGAGTGAGGAGTAAGTGATGTACCCACTTTTTTTGGTGGTGATTTACTTCCCGTCAAATGTTGTGAGGGGGCGAAAGGGGCGGGGAGGAGGCGATCGAAGCGGGGTTCGATGTGTGTCGAAAAGATAAGACCACCCCAAAAAAAAAGCATCAAGCTAACATTTGGGTCTTCACCTTTTGCTTCTTTGACAGGGAGTCTTATCGCGCAACATTGAAAGAGACCAAACAAGAGATTCGGAACGACCCCGCCTCAGTGACTGACACCATTGCTGATGTCTTTGCGCCTTATGATCTCCCTTCCGAATTGGTGGTGGAGCTCACGCGACACCTCTCCACCTCCCCCATGCTCCCTTCCTTTCTCATGAATTTCCATCATACCGTCCAGGAGCCGTCGGGGTCACGGGCCTGGGTGTGTGCCCTGACCATTGCCTTGGGGTACTTCATCGGCGGGTTTGTGCCGCTCCTCCCGTACTTCTTTGTCGGGCCCCATGGCGCCTTCTATGCCCTGCAGTGGTCGATCGCCACGATGGTGGTCGCATTGTTCCTCTTCGGATATGGCAAGACGTGCTTTGTGAGTGGGTGGAAGGGATCCAAGAACATCCGGCGAGGACTTGTCGGGGGCTTGCAGATGGTTCTGGTCGGAGGAGTTGCGGCCGGGTCAGCGATGGGACTGGTGAAGGGATTCCAGATGCTGGCGGATGCTCATCAGGGACATGATCACCAATGATTCCTTTCTCTTTCTGTTGGCGTTATCTATCTTTCTTTTCCTTGGGCGTTCGAGCGGGCTACAAAATGGGCGGATCTCAACATGCATTGGATGATACCGGGTTATGGCTGACTGACTGTAGATTCCATAGATGAGTTATGGCATTGGTCAGCATCGATATCGATATTAGAATGATTACACTGAGTACATAGTTCCTGTGATTAGAACGAACAAATTGACGAGTTTGACTGCCCTGTCACAAATCGCACGTCCAAGTCCAATGTAAGTCCGCACCAGCACAGATCGCAAGGTATCGAGTAACAGAAAAACAGAAAGCAATGTATAATACCCGAAAGCAATAGCTCTCTGGTCGACTTGAACTCCCCCCAAACCTGTTCCACATCACTTCCACAATACAGTCCTCGCTAATAGGATGCCCAATAACTACGTAGCTTACTGTACCTACACACCGCATAACTCCGACAACCACTGCACCGGTCCTCAATCCCCAAACCACACACAGCCCAACGACAGCCCACAAAGGACCGTCAGGCTACACCTGCACCGAGCATGACAGACATTCTTCAGCGCTTGGCCTCGGCTGTGCCATCAGAGCGTAGTGACCGCCCAATCGGATCCCAGGCCAGTGTGAAACTATGTACTGGACATTCCAGCCCCGTCTCACGAACCGAGTGTGGTGTGCACTGCCACAAGCTGGCGCCTCAAAAATGAGCCTCCGCCCACGCCCCAGCCAACACCCTCCAGCCTTGCCAGGGATTCCCGGGCTGGCGATCGGTCTTGGAGAATGTGGGGTAGGAGTAGGAGGTATTCGGCGGAGTTGGATGGAGTCCCACGGATGTTTTACTGGTGGGTTGGTATGTGGCTACTGGGTGTGTTGGGTGGTGTCGATCGATCTATGATCGTCTCTGGTGGGTTGGTTTATTGGGGGGGAGGGGGCAATACTGCTGCTGCTGCTGTTGGAATAGACTTTGTTTCCTGCGTTGAATGGCAATTAGAAGAGGGAGGGGAAGGGAAGGGAAGGGAAGGGAAGGAAGGGAAGGGGGAATGCGAAACGGTCTGTGTGGATGGCATGATCATAGACACCAAGAAATTAAACCTTCACAGTGCATAAAGACAGACTCAGTGAAGCTCATGCACTGTACGAACGCACAATGCAGATCAATGTCTTGAACTCATTTTGACTTCTGCATTGTGTACTCTGCACAAGGAGGGGATCTTTGAGAGCAAGAGAGAGAAGGTTAAATGAGGGTTATGCAGCACCCCCCTTCGGCCGGCAAAGCTGGGCCGAGGAGCGAGCGATGATTCAATAAACATTCATAGAAAGTGTTACTGCAGGGCAATGCGGCATGACCTCATTGTTCTGATGGGTCTTTATGTCTTAGTCTCGCTTGCCCGACGGGCACGAGGGCATCAGGTGATCTCGAGCTGCAGCGTTTTCTTGTTCTTGCATGGAGACTCATGCAATATAGTATGGGGCTCCCCCATAAGTGCTAAAAGTGTATGTGACTCCTCCTGTAGCGAGCGGTGAGGTCAATAGTATGAGCAGTAGAACGTAGCCAAACAGATTTGACATCCACGATGCTGTCACGTCACTTGGAGATCATGTTGTACTCAGTAAAAGGATCTACCATTGATGTCAATCATGAACCAAGAGTTGAGATTCTAGAAGGAAGTTGGAAGCAAGAGAGGCGCAACGATCCGAATCCGGGATCGATCCATGTTGTCACGGGTGTGTGGCTCTCCCGCTCTTGAGTGGGTTTTGTGCCCCGTCACTACCCTTTCGTTTTTCTATGATGTCCGATGATGTCGATGACCCTCGCTGTTTGTCCTTCCTTCCCCCTCATTCTCTCTCTCTTCCCCGTATTCTGCTTCTTGGTTCCGCCGCGAAAGCAACCGTCCATGATGCAACGAGTTCAAGTCAAGTCTGGTACAGTTACAGAGTAGTAACCTTTGGTTCGTTACAAGAAAGAGGTATCGTATGTCTTCTTGACGCTCTTGTAGTCTTTCCAAATGGGATGAATTACATTACATGCTTGTAGTATGCCGATCGGCTTTCCAAGCCACCAACGTTGTCCTGCTTGGCCCAAGCTCTCTGGTGACCTTCACACAGCCCGGTGCCCACCACCCCCATCGAATCCACTCTTCATGCCAACAGGTAACAATAGTCAAGGGCTCGGCATCGTTAACTACGAGTAATAGATTTGCTAGGACCACACGTTACCCCCCTTCTTCTGTGGTGCATACAGATGAAAGGGGGGGGAGGAGAGAGGCGTGAGCAAACGAATACGAGGGAATATCCCCCAAGGATCATCTCCTGTAGAACCACGTTTGATGATCCGACACATTGTCAATCTCCCATAGGTAAGGCGCAGCAAAGAGGAGCAAGCAACAGCCAGCTCCATTAATTTTGAGATGAACATGCCGTTCGGAAATTTGCGCCAGTATAAGCCCCAGCTCATCTACTCAGTACAGGGTTGTGTAATGTATGTACAGTACCCCCGTACTACGAATTCGAGGCTGATGGATGGCTCAAGCAGTTGCTGCTGCCTGGTTGAGGCTGGGGGTGGGAGAAATGATAGTCAGTTTTAGACTGCAGGATTTCCCTTCTTCACCCTTTAATTTCAAAGCAGGTAACAAACCACGCGTAACCGTCGTCAGCCACTTGGTTCGACTCAGTAAGCATTACCTCGTAGACTGATGGGGGAATCCTGCATCTGGCTAGGTGTGCCCAGACAGCATTGCCTGTTGGGCCTGAGCAGTTTGCCCGTTCCAGGTGACTGGTACTGTACCGCCCCTGGTCGGAATCGCGAGAATCAGCCGAACTGTACTGGGCCATTAAGTAAGCGGATCGGGAAATCGTCCGCATGAGGCAGAGAGAGCCTGAGCCTGAGCCGGGGAGCTACTGGGCTGCTGGGGAGAGTTGCAGTCCGATCGTGCGCTCCAGTCCTAACGTTGCGATGAGGTGAGGAGCAGCACCACAGCAGTAGTAGCCACAGCAGCTGTTGCACTAAAGTCAGGGCAGGCACAACTCGTTATGATTAATTTGAGGCGGAAGTCATGATGACGCTGCCCTGTCCATATACACACGGCCCAATTAAGTCAGGGTCGATGCAGCGCAGACCCTCCAAATCTGCTGATCCAGCTGCTATGAGCTTGAACAACTGAGAAAGCCATCACAAACACCAGAGTTTCAAATCAGGCGCGTGCTTGGGTGCATTAATGCTCTCGGATGCAAGAATGATCACGGCAAGCCGCGCGACCGGACGAGGTGATCATTCGAGGGACCTGGGAAGGGAACAGGAATTGGTATGTATCGTATACACGCTGTACCGTACCAGACCGTCATGGACGGGGCTCAGAAGAGCAACTTCCATTTCGCTCTCTCTCCTCTCTCTTGCTCTCGTGTGGTGTGAGTGTCGAACTAGAGACTAAGTGTCTAATAATTCGTGACTAGACTGTGGCTTAAACACTCTAGACCTGCATATCATTTCTCCAGCCCTCGACCCTTTTGTTGTCATGTTGCCTAATTCTATGCTATAGATCGAAATCAGGGGAAGGAGAAAAGGCTGTTTGTTGCTCAGGGGCGAAATGCGAATTGTGATATTCAGGAGGATTGGGGGTTTTTGTGCAATCAATCAATCAGTCTATCCTCCCTGTTTGTCCTTCCCCAGCTTTGAGGGGGGGAGGCTCAATGCGTCAAGGGAAAACGCAACAACAGCTGTCATCCGGGTTTGATGCACCTGGCGCGTGGACAAATCTGACAGGCGATTGTTTCGAGTTGAATGGGCGGAAGTGGCTGGGGAAGAGACAAGAGGTGCGGTTTTCTGCTGCTTCTCTCTCGTACTGACTGACTCCTCCATGGGTAGCTGTCATCTCGCCGTCTCGCTGGCTGATCGTCGTAAAAACCATCCTATCACATACATGTACCTATCAATCTGGACTCTGCGGCGGCTATTGTCCGAGCCCTTGTTAACTTACTGCAAGAGGTAAGCAATACGACCGATGCTCTATCCATCACATTGTGCCCTGGGCCTGTCGCGGGAACACCGGCGGTTGGGTCCCCGATCGTTATCCATCAGATTAACCAGCCGGTTATCCGCCTCGTAGGATCGTGCTTGTCGTTATGTAGGGCCCATCTACATAGTCATATATCAACAACCGAGGCCTTGCGGTTAGAGAAACTTTTATCAATGTCTTTTTGGGTCCGGATGCCGGATTGCCGGGGCCCGATCCATCTGGTGCCTGATCATTATACACAATGTGGATGGGGATGGGGATGGGTGGGATAATCCTCGGGCCTCAACAAACATACGAGGGAAATAATCAATAAATCAATAATGATCACTAATTATGCGCCAAGCGGAACAATTGTGACCAACCAGACTGACTGTAGGCGGCATCGGTGAATTTCTTTGACCGATTTGTGAGACCGTTGTGGATTAAGCGAAATTGGAGATGGGAGATCCACTGCTTCCTGTTGGTCGGCCATTGAATCTATGGGGACCACTGGGTTGGGCGTATCGCGGAGGTGGTGAGAATGGCTGGGTTGTTTTTCTTGAAGCAAAGCAAAATGCTTCTTTACTTTTATCTGAGACCTACAGATCAGAGTCAGACCATCATCGTCAGTAGAAGGGGACCAGAGTCAGAGTTATAGTAGTGTCTAACTGTCGCTGCGCACAGCTCTCCTACTGCACCGCGTCAACTTTATTCTCCGCATGCTCAGTTCATATAGAACTACTCCGTAGATAGTCGTGAAGATGACAAGCGACTATTCAGGAACCGGAATCACATAGCTTGGCCGAGGCGTGCAAGAAAGCTATGGTGGTGCGGTGGTGCAGTGGTGCAGTGGTGGTGTAGACTATTGCAGCTTCAAGCCCGCCCCGATCCGTAGTTCGGTATTTGCGGTCTCCGTCGTCCGAGCAGAAATTTTCTGCTTCGATTTTCTTTTCTTTTTTTTTTGTTTTTTTCTCTCTTTCCTTTTTGGAGTTAGCAGCGACCCTGGTTTCTCAGGCACTTCCGAGGCTGACCACCGAAACTAAACACTAAAGGGGTATGGGCGGTAATTAAACGCCTTGAATGAGTTAGGACACGGCCAGTGGTGACGACATGATACGGGGCCAAACCGGTAATACGAGTACGACATTACTGCCTTACGCCGTACCCGTCGTGGTCCGTCGCCCCGTCCAGTCCCAGTCCCAGTCCCAGTCCCAGTCTCACTTCACTCGCTCACTCTACTCATTCATTCATTACTACTAGTACTACTCGTCCCCAAAGCAAAACCACCTGCAAAATCCTCAGATTCCCGTCTCATTGTTTCCTCCTCTTCCCTTTTTCCCTCCTCTCCTCTTCTTTACAGCCCTTCGCTTCCTCTCTTCCTATTTACCTATTGTCCTTATTCCACTCTCTCCTCCGTCTACTCTCCTATCCCTCCGGCTCCGTGGCCATCTTTGCGCCCCTCGCGACTTATCTCCTCGTTCTCGGTCTACTGCCTCTCTATCGCCCTTACTGTTCGTCCGCCTTGCGTCAGAGAAGCCCTTGCCAACGTGACCTCCCCCCGAACAACCTCGTTTGGCCGCTGGAGACCGGAGCCCGCGCTCCCACGTCGTTGCTATAACTCAATTTCAATTCTCCGCTTGTCGGAGCAAACCAGCAGCGATTGAAACGTTCTGTTCCAGGGTCCATTCTCCCTTCGACTCCTGTCACCTTGACGCCGAGACAACACCACGCTATCCCCTCCCCTTTCCCGTCAGCTTTGCCTCGAGCTTCCATCCTTTGCTTGCGCCTCCGCCTCTGGTATCTTCGCTAGACGAACAAAGAAGAGAGTCCATTCGGCCATTCCACGGAGTCTCTTCGTTCCGAGACTAGCCGCCGAGATGAATAGTTCCCTTCCTTCGTGGAAGGACCGTACACAGAACCAGTTCGGCAAGCTTCAGATCCAAGTACCATGGCGCTCTATTCAATTGCTGGTCCCGCATCGCATGCGACGGAAGATTCGTTCGAAGTTGCGCAGCAGGCTTTCTCCGACCTCATCGATTTCGACGCTGCAGACCTCCTTCTCGCCCGTCGATACCCTACGGTCACTGCAAAGCCATCGGTGGACACTATATGACTTCCAGTATCTACTCTTGCTGATCATCGGGATTTTCTCCCTCAGCATGATGGGTGCCCCCGGCCCCTTGGCCAAAACTGCTGTCTTCACGCTACTCCTGATCTCGCTGCTGCTCCCGATCACCCGCCAGTTCTTCCTTCCTTTCCTGCCCATCGCGGGTTGGCTTATCTTCTTCTACGCCTGCCAGTAAGTGCACCCACAAGCCTTGGCCTTGTACCTGGCACCACCGGATGGCGAACAATGACTGACTTTTCCGGCTATAGGTTCATTCCAAGTGATTGGCGCCCTGCGATCTGGGTCCGCGTGCTTCCGGCCCTGGAGAATATCTTGTATGGTGCAAACATTAGCAACATCTTGTCTGCTCACCAGAATGTTGTTCTTGATGTGCTTGCATGGATCCCCTATGGCCTGTGCCACTACGGTGCGCCGTTCGTCTGCTCGCTCATCATGTTCATCTTCGGTCCTCCGGGCACTGTTCCACTTTTCGCCCGTACCTTTGGTTACATCAGCATGACTGCGGTTACTATTCAGCTCTTCTTCCCATGCTCTCCTCCGTGGTACGAGAACCTGTACGGCCTGGCACCGGCCGATTACTCGATGCCCGGTAACCCTGCTGGACTCGCCCGCATCGACAAGCTCCTTGGAATCGACCTGTACACTTCGGGCTTCAGACAATCCCCCGTCGTGTTCGGCGCCTTTCCCTCTCTGCACGCGGCGGACTCAACCTTGGCTGCCTTGTTCATGAGCCATGTGTTCCCCCGCTTGAAGCCTTTGTTCGTCACCTACACTCTGTGGATGTGGTGGGCGACGATGTACTTGTCGCACCACTATGCAGTGGACTTGGTTGGTGGTGGTCTGCTGGCCACGGTCGCGTTCTACTTCGCCAAGACCCGATTTCTCCCGCGCGTCCAGAGCGACAAGACCTACCGCTGGGATTACGACTACATCGAGATCGGTGACTCAGCTCGCGCATATGGATACGACCTGGCTAGTTTCGATGGCGACTTTAATCTCGACAGCGATGAATGGACGGTTGGATCCTCATCCTCCGTCTCTTCTGGCTCCCTGAGCCCTGTCGATGACCATTACACATGGGAGGGAGAGTCACTCGCCTCCCCAGTCACCGACATTGAAGCGGGAAGACATGTTATCAGCCCTTGATAAGCTCTCGTTCCGACTTCTCACAAACCTCACCCTGCATATAGCATTCGCTTCTTGCATTTATTTAACGATTGGCGTTTTCAACATTTGACGACATGCTGGGTTTATTGCATTGAGCCAATTTCGACACATACATCTTTAATACCGACCGCCTCGCTTCGTCCCTTCGCAGGCTTTTCAGTCAGTTCACTCGAACTTTCGCCTGGCTGAACGTGTTGAGAGTCATCACTTGATGACTCCTCTTTCCGCCTCACTGTACTATCACCGCAATATTTTGGCTGCATAATCGATTCCTCCAGCCCAACATCGGAGCTCCGTCGATAATTTTAATACGGAAGACCCAAAGCGATTTTTCGTCAGACCGCGCTGAGGTCTTGCCTGCGACGCTCGCTGCTGGGAGTCTTTCTGGGCTTTCTCAGAACGACCCATTCGCTTCGATCCCACTTTTTGTCTTTCGCTGTTCGTCAGCTGGTCGAGCTTTACCTTTATTTCACCTTCCGCTCGGCCAGGTACATAGACTTTTATCAATTCGTGTCGATTGCTCACACCATTGGCGCCTAGGTTTGAGACCATTCAATGAAAGAAAAGTTGATTGGAGGCGCTCTCACTCGCTTCCCCGTTTGCACCTGATTCACTATGCATCACCAAGGATGCAATGTTGTTTAATGACCCTTTTTTTTGCATTGGCATATAGACAGAGGGGCTATGACGAAACTCCTTGCTCTCAGGCCGTTGCCACTACCCTGAGACACTTGTTGTCTGTTGTATGAGGAGAGAGGACCTGTTTGGTTTTTATTTTCCAGTTTGGATTGGCAAGGAGAAACCCTCGACGCAAGGAACATTGTCGCGAGGGCCTGCATATATGGTGGTGGAGGATACTCCTTTCTATCTCTCGTCTGTGCCCGCTTTCGTCCTCACGTGGGATATGGAATGCTGGGGAGGGAGAAACAACTTGCAGAATTCTGGTGGCCAATTCAACGCCTGACGCACACGCGCGCACACATACTTTCCCTACTCCTACTCTCAACCATTCTTAAAAACTCCCTATCAACCTCACCCTAATCCTCATGTGTGTGTGAGTATGTGTCAGTGCGTCAGGAAGGCTTTATCTAATTCTTGAGAACCTGAACAAGCATTTTGTTACTCCGCTGCAGTTCCAGCACGAGCTTCAGTCGCCAGGCATTATTAATTATAATTATTTTCAAACCAGGCAGTGTTATGATTTATGAAAGAAACCCATTCAAACCAAACTCTTTGTTTATATTGTATATCAAAAACAATATTTATTTTCCCCTTTTGCTTGAATTAGTCTGTAGGATGGTTCGTATGTATGTGTGTAAGTGCTCGTTTGAGTATGTATGTCTATACTACTGGTTTTGGAGAATCACTTATGAACAATACTAGTCATAAGTCGTTGAAGATCCATGACTGGGTATATGGAGAGTGGCCCGTCCAAGTACCTCCTTCAGGGATAATACCAGATAACAATTCTTTTATAATCCGTGTGATGTCATTGCACATATGTCATCATCTTTGATCTTTCTTCTTTTCTCTATTATCAAGTCATGAAAGCAAGGGCAGTCTTCTCTGATGCGTCATAAGATAGAATGAGAAATGTGTATGATGTAATGCGCTGTATGGATAATCGGATTGAGATTGGTTATTTGATGATTGGGGAAGTGTTTCGTAATAGATAACTAAGATCTCATGCCGGGAAAACGAAAAGGGAAAAATCAGTAGACGCTTCCTCTAATGCTTTGGTCTTCGCGGCGTTGGGCTTCTAGGGCGTCGTCTTCGTCTTCGACTCCAGGGGTCATGGCGGTAGTACTAGTAGTGTGGTCATTAGGGTCGTCTGCGTGCTCGTGCTCGTGCTCGGGTTCGTAAGTCTGATTACTGCCTTCGTGGACGTGCTGAGACTGGTCCGCCTGGCATGCTGCGCATTGCTCGGAGAAATACTCGTCATGGTCTTCGTCGTCGTTGTCGTCATCGTGGTTGTCGTATTGTTGCTGCTGCGGCTGCACTTGATGTTGGGTGAGGATGTTGGCTACGCGCTTCGCTTGGATGGCTCGACGACCGCCGGAGGTGGTGGAATGGTGGGGATGGCGGTGGTAATTGTGAGAGCGGGTGCGACGAGGTCGCTCGCACTGTCGGCTGCTGCTCTCGTCGTCGCCGTCGTTGCCGAGATCCTGGGACGGTTTGCGAGAGGGGTCCAGGCGATGGCTGTGGTGCTGATGGTGATGTTGGTGGGGATAGAGGTGGTTGGAGGTGGAGGCGGAGCGCGGACGGGCTTCTGGAGCCGACTGGGTGGGTTCATGCTGGTGCTTATGGCCCGAATGGTGGTGATGGTGGTGGTGCTGATATTCGTGTTTATCATCCCGCTCGTCCTCAGATGGTGCAAGGCTGTTCGCTCCGCTCAGGGAGCCACCGCCATCACGGCCGACCATATGGATGTAGGCATAGGTGGAGCGGGGTGGGTGAAGGAGGTGGTCTTCGCTGTCGCGGTGGAAGTGCCGGAGGTCTGGCCGGCGCGGGACTGGATTTGAGCTGGGGCTGGGGCTGGAGCGGGTCGATGAGGGAAATGGTTGGTCGGATGATTGACTTGTGTCAGTCAAGGCAATGGCCTTTGTTCGGATGGGTAGTGCCTTTTCCAAGGTCGCGCTCGAGACCTCGAGTTCTAGTTGAGTGCCATGAAACTCGTACTTGGGCGAAGGCGCGGGGTGTGTTCTCTCTAACGGGCGAACATCTCTCGACCGATCTCCAAGTGCTGGCTCGGGGGCTGTGATCATATGTGGTTCTCCATGCGCGGCCGGATCTTTCGAGGTTGTAGTCGGAGAAGCATCGTGGTCAGCGTCAGTGTTCTCTGAGTTGTGCTTGGGATCGCTTGTCTTCCTGGAGACGGGGGATGAAGTGTCCACGTGAAGCTTGGGCTGTTCTGATCCGTGTGCTCGAGCTGAACGCAAGGAGTTCCCTCTTCGAATTCCGTGATTACACCCCTCGGGACAGCCACCCCACTTGCGTCTGACCGGTACCGGCGTTGTCTCCGATGGCGTTGCGGGCTGTGTAGGGCTGAGGCCTTTCGCTGCACGTTCGTGTTGCCGCTCCAGCTCTTTTTCCTTGCGCAGATCGGACCAAGTCCGGAGCTGATTTTGGAGGACATATTTACCATTGTCTGGATTGAGTTTCAAGATAACAAACTCGCAATGGTTGATGTTTCGTAGATCCTCAAAGTATTCCACGCTCCAGTGGTACCATTTCATGAGAAATACTCTCGTCATTAAGCCATGCGTAACCAGCACGCAGACACTAGCGAAGTCGTTCTCTCCGAACAGGCGCCAAAGGGACTCGTTGAAACCACTGACGCGGTCGTAGGCGTCTGCGGCAGACTCACCGTTGGGTATCCGGTAGAAGAAGTGTCCATAATCAGCCCTTTCCAGCCACATTCGTTCCATTTCGGCCGAGCAAGGTTGAAAGTTGCCAAAGTCCTGCTCGCGCAACCGAGGCTCCTCATAGACCTTGATTGTATGCCGCGGGAACGGGGATGGGGATGGCGAGTCCGATGTCAAGGACTGAAGAATGCCCTCCGTGGTTTCACGTGTGCGACGATAGGGAGATGTGAAGAAGTGTATCGTGTCATCTGGTCGGAGTAGGGCGCGTAATTTGCTTCCTGCTTCCAGAGCCTGGCGATGTCCTTCCGGGGTGAGTTTAACCCGATGGTCCGGGATGGTCTGGTGAATCTCGCGGTTTTTGTTCCCTTCTGATTGAGCATGTCGGATCAAGATGATCATCTGTGAAACAGGTGAGCGACCGAAGAGGAATCACCATCGAGGGCTGTGACACTTACCCGCGGCTTGCCCATGGTTGTTGTGGTGGCATGCGGTGGTGTACAACTGATGTGGGGATACGAGGCGAGGTACAGGACAATCGCAGCAGACTGTAACGGCGGGTAGTGAAACACAAAAAAAATGCACCCGCTGACTGGCCGATTTCACGAGAAACTCGTGGCTTGTAAATCAGTCTTCGTATTTCGAGAACCGATCGATGGGAGATCCCAGAAAATGAGTTGTTGAGGAGAACGAGGATTTGGAGGATTTGCAAATGCGGCGGGACCATTGGAGGAACCTGGGGATTGCCTGATCCAGTTAGCGCATTCCAGTGATGTCAGTGCCCTGGTTAGTCAGCAATGGCCTGCTCAGGCACAATTCATCTATCAGTATTATACTCCGTTTACTAGATATCCTACAATGCCTGCGGCCAGGCTAGATAACTTCTCTCGATCTCGACCTCGATCTTAATCTTCCTGGAGCTGATGTAGTGTGAAGCTCACAAAACTATTGATTCTCATGTCTTAGTCAATAGATCAGCATGCAACGAGTTGCTTGATGTCATTTTGATAGTCTTCCTCTTTGTATTCCGTCTAAAACTTTTCTTCTCAAATTGGAGCTTTCATCTGCATGCTGGTTCACATTGAGTTCGTGTCGGACTTCGTGGACATTTGGCATCGTGGGATATGGTCATCTTTGACCATCACCGCGTTTAAAAGAATGCCAGCGGTGGTGTTTCCATTGAGGGACTATGAATTGCACGATGAACCTGAGTTTCTGGCTTGCTTGCCCTCTCCCACACAGATTGAAGGAGCATGATTGTGGTAAGTAGTTAATCCCAGTGGGCATTCCAGTTCTCGCCCGTTCCGGGAAGGACGACACTATGTGGGGAACAGTGTGGGGTAGAAGCGCTTTTCCCCTCCTGGTTGATATCCATAAGATAATTCTATCTGGTCTCGAAGAGAGCTATGGTTTGAAGTCTACTTCATGCCAGTGCCGTCCACATTGGAGTAGTTGACTCGACAGGGAGCGGCGCGGCGGGGATTGATCGCTGGGCGAAGATCAGAAGCTCAGATGATTAGCTAGAAAGGTGTAAAGTCTAGAGGTGAGAGTGATAATTTCCCTGTCAGACGCATGTGACGTGAGCTTAGCTTCCAATTGAAAGGAGATATCATGGATCCATGGTGTTATGAGGTGTTTCTAGTTGTGGCTTAGAAGCTGTGGGCAGACAGTTAGTAATTTATACACTCCCCGCGACAGACTAAGCCTGGGCTGGCCAGTGACCCGCCAAGGCGGCATGCCGTACTCATCCGTTAACTTATCCGTCGCAAACCAAAGCTGGCCAGTTTCTCCTGTCTTAGTAGGTGACGGTGACTTGACTTCCACTGGGCAACTTCACAGCCTCTCCCACAACTCTCCTTCCTTTCTTTGCCCCTGGGCTCAGGCGAAAGCAATTATGGCCGATTATCTTTACGAGCTCCTGGCTCCTCAGCTGGATCCAACCACCAATGCTCCTTCCAATCTCCGCTCCCCGGAGCACAATCCCACCACCGCCCAGTACCTCAATCGTCTACCGACCCTCTCCCTTCAAGCATTACAGACGACAGAGCCTCAGTCCTTAACACAGTCCTCCCACTCGACCCTTTTGTCCCTCCAAGCGCTCGCCAACCGTTCTCACAAAGCCTTCGTGGCCTCCGCAGACCATTTGTCCAACCTTCGCACAACTATCCCCCAGTTGAGCCGCGACGCCCAAGCACTACGAGATTCAATCCCCAAACTCGACGAGGAAGCCGTTCTATTCTCTTCGAAATATAGCCGAGCAACCGAGAATGTATCCCTTGAGCGGCGGAAGAAGGTCATGCAATTGGCAAGAAATGTGGACCGACTCTCGGACATTTTGGAGCTGCCAACCTTGCTTTCTACAGCGGTGTCATCCGCCGCGGCAAGCTCGGGTGGTACAGGGAGTTCCGCCTCGACCACCTACTCGACTGCACTGGATCTTTATGCGCACATCAAGAGACTACAGACTTTGTATCCGGATTCCCCGCTCATCAAAGACGTGGTCATGCAGGCCGATGAAGCGATGAAGGACATGACCTCCAATCTAATTGCTGGGCTGCGGATGCAGAACCTGCGGCTAGCAGCTGCCATGAGGACCGTTGGCTGGCTGCGGCGAGTGGCGCCCGAGCTGGAAAACCTATACAATGATGGAGGGACTACTTCCGGCGAGGGGGCCTTGGGTGCCGTATTTCTGATCTGTAGACTGGCAAATCTGGTATCAATGCTCGAAGCCCTGGATCCTTTGCGAGAGTTGGCCGACCAGGAGACGCAGCGCAGACTCCACAAGACCGACAAACCAAACAGTGCGACAGCCACTTGGTCAGATGGTCACCAGACGGAGAAATACTTGAAACGATATATTGAGATTTTCCGCGAACAAAGTTTTGCTATTGTCTCCTTATACAGAAACATTTTCTATCCTGACCAGTCCGAGTCGGAATTAGCCGTTGCCGGTCTACGTGGAATCGATAGTCGAGTCAAGGCGGTAGCCTCGAAGTCAGCCCGTGCAGAAATTCCCTTTCAACGTCTTCCGTCTGCCATGGCCACTTTTCCCATGCAGCTGGTCGAATTGCTCGCGGATACGTTGCGCACGTATCTTCCCAATGTTCGCGACAAGAGCTCGCGTGAAAGTCTCTTGACCCAGGTCCTGTATTGTGCAGCCAGTCTTGGTCGACTTGGGGGCGATTTTGGAATGATCCTTACGGAGTTGGGAGACGAGCAGGACGAAGACGATGATGACGATGATGATTTAGCCTACGAATGGGAGGAGGTGACACGGAAACACCGAGCCTTGGCAGGGCGGTTGGAGCAGCTGACTGGGGGTGGTACAACCACAGGGCCTTCTTCCAAAGGGACCTTGCGAGTTGCATCGCCAGCTTAGTGAGGGACTGGAAGTGACAAAGTCACAAAGTGACGAAGAACGTACTGTAAGGATATTGCCAGCAAAGCTGCCAACAAACAAACAAAAACCAACAAATCGGCCATTGTCAGTGTCAGCGGAGTGTCATTGAAGGTGAAGAAGAAGGGATGAGCGTCTTTTGTTTCTCAATAAGGGAAGTCAGGACACCCGGGGGTCGCTAACCCGATAAGGCATGGCATCCGCCGTCCAACGCTGTCTGGACCATCCATCCGTCATCCTCCCTCGCTCTCTCGCTCCCTCCCTCCCTCTCCCTGCTCTCTCTTCTCTCCCCCATCCCTTTCAACAACCTTTAGACCGACCACTCTTTCTCACTGATCCTATACGCCTCTTGTCACCTCTGAACCCTCTGACACTCCTCTCCGAGACTCCTTCTTTGTGACCGGTGCTGGTTTCCGGTCTCTGATCTATCCTTCTCCCCCCCGCCCTGCCGCCGCCGCCGCCGTCGCCGTCGCCCGTCTCCGTCTGTTGTGACGTTCTCCCTTGCATACCGTGCTACCGATTATACCCTCCTGAGCAATGAAGATAATGTCCTTGACTACGTGAAGAAACTCCATCATATACACAAACTTGCGACCTTTATCTCAACATCCCTGCCTCCTTCCTGTGGCCCCGATTCACGATGGCTGCCCCCGCTCTCCCCACCAGTGGGTTGATCGATCCAACAAAACAAGCCGAGTATCCTATTGTGCTGGGTGACAGGCTCGCTGGCAAGGGCACGTCGAACTCCCAATTAGTCAACATTCAATATAACTACAAAACCAAATCTGCGACCGCCCGATCTAAAATCTCTCGATCAAGGCAATCTCGGGACCGTTTCAATTTGACGATCACGGACAAAGCACCAAATGCTGAGCAGAATGTGTTGACCTACACATATCAAGGCAGTGTAGATCCGGCACAAGCTGCGCTGGAATCTGCTGAACATAATCTGGTCCTGGTGTTTGACGCCAATCGGAAAGTGTTCGTACTGGAACCGGTAACGACACAGCTCAACTTCAATCTTCGGTCAGCCCCAGCGAAGTCACACAAGCAGGTCCTTGAACAATATGAGCAACTACGAATGTTACAGGAGGAAGACCATGGATCGGGTGACGATCGGGCGTCTGACAATGCCAGTGGTAATGATGACGGCCCAGCGGATGACAACAACCCATTCGATTTTCGTCATTTTCTCCCAAAGGAGAACGCCGATGACGACAGATCCGCTTCAGACACCAGTGTAGGCAAAGCGGCGACACCCTTAATGTCTGCTATAAAACCCACTCCGAGTCCCAAGCCCTTGCCGGACAAGCAGAAGCAGCGGGAACCACTGCTTCGGAAAAAGGAGCGTGCAGAGGCTGTCAAACACCCGAAGTCCACACCGACAAAAGCAGCACCAAAGTCTCCGGCATGGACCGAACGCAAGGGAACTGACCGGAAGGTCGTCAAAGAGGATGACGTGCGGGTGAGCACAGCGAAACCCCCGCCGGCTGAGACTGGCTTGGGGTTGGTCTCGTCCCAGATCACCGAGCCTTCGCCGGGGTCAAATATCATCATCGACGGTGATCTGATCATCGAAATGGGCTCGCCGCGGCCCTCGAGAATTGACACGACCTACTTCTCCGATACGCACACACCGGCCAGTGACGATCACGAGGAGGAAGACGATGAAGATGTTGACCATCTCCGACTTCCTTCACCAACCCGTCACGGGAAAGCGCCTGCAGTCCGCGAGCCTGTCTCTGCGCCACTCGTGGATGAAGATGAGCTGGATGATGATGACGCCCTGGCCGCTGAGATGGAAGCGGCCTTTGAAGAAAGTGCGCGGGAGGAAGAAGAGGCACGTAGCCACCAGTCGCAGCCACCATACTCGTCGCATCTCTACCACGCACCTAGTGATGATGAGAGCGAGGTCAGCGAGGAAGAGTAATGTTGTCTCTTTGACGACTCTTGTTGATTAACCTGTATTTCACTCTTGTAACAAGTCTACATGCATACAAGCAGGGCGCATTGTGGAGTTTACACTGTTTTACCTTGAAGACCAGCGGGGGCAGACGTTCATGGCAATTGATATAATACCAGCTGTTGCACCGTCCGTGTATTGAGAAGTGTATTGAAGACTGGTTGACCAGACTGTCAGTGTTATAGCATATTGCATATTGGTATAATTATATGACAACTGTAACACTGAGAAAACCATTTGTGAGAGTAACAAACAGTCCGAATGCCGGTTCAACGCGGCGGCCGATCTAGATCGGAACAACTGGATGATCCGGGCCGCATCGTCATTGGGCCAAGTGCCAGTCAAGAAAAACCACCGCTCTAGAAAGGAGCTTGACCGGTTCCTCCGGCAATAATCGACGACACCACGAGATTCTCACGATTTACAACCCAGTCCATCGCACTCAGCCGTTACGGAAATTACCCCCACCTTCTTTATAACGCTGATTGTCGCAACCGGTGGACTAACACGCGTGGTGCGACTGACCTCCCCATTTTCGGCATCCGATGCGATGAGGATTCACCCGCGGGCCATGGTTGAAACGACTCGATAAACCTCCAGGCGACGAGACAAAGTGGCTCACTGTCGCCAGTGGGCTACACTAAGGGTGCGCCTTCATATACTGCCTTGTTCCTTCGACAGTCTTCAAGTAGGGTGACTGAAGAATACTCGATCGGAACCTTACCCCAAGCTTGCCTGCGCGTGCGGATTCGGGCTCTCGGGATCGATCTCTCTCACGTTGTGTACAGTTCTTCCACCTCCCACTCCTTCGAGATAAACTTTGCTCGCATTAGCGTCACTTTGTGCTTTGAGGGAGTTGGACTTTGCCGATAAAGCTCATATGCACACGATGGCTTCTCCGCGCGGCCACCGCCCAAGTCCAAGGCCTGTTCCTGCGCCTTCGAATTCCGTCCTCCTCGCAACCCAAGCTCAGTGGCTCTTCACCGATGAGGAGCTCACACGAACGCCGTCACAGCTCGATGGTATGAAAATGGAGGCGGAAAATACATCCCGCAGCAAGGGCGTGAATTTCATTTCCCAGGTGGGTATCATGCTCAAGCTGCCGCAACTCACGCTTGCGACGGCCGCCGTCTACCTCCATCGTTTTTTCATGCGATACAGTATGGTCGATCTACCGCAACGACCCGGAATGCACCCCTACCCCATCGCTGCTACGGCCTTGTTCCTGGCTACAAAGGTTGATGAAAACGTGCGGAGGATGAAGGAGCTTGTGGTTGCTTGCTGTCGGGTCGCCCAGAAGCAGCCGAATCTGGTGGTTGACGAGCAGTCCAAAGAGTTCTGGAAATGGCGCGACACGATCCTCGTCAACGAGGATACCCTGCTGGAGGCACTGTGCTTCGACCTGCAGCTGGAAGAGCCGTATCGCATCCTCTACGAATTCCTGCTGTTCTTCGGCGTGGCCGATAACAAACAGATGCGCAATGCGTCATGGGCTTTCGTCAACGACTCGATGTTTACCGTCCTCTGCTTACAGTTTACCGCTCGCAACATTGCCGCCGCCGCCCTATACGCTGCCGCCAAGCACTGCGACGTCGGATTTGAAGACGACGAACTCGGTCGGCCCTGGTGGGAGCAAATCGATGTGGACATCAACGAGGTGCGTCGTACGGTCACGAGAATGGCACAGTTATATGAAAACAATGCCCTGCAAAGAAACACGTACTACCTGTCCGCCCCCACCGCGTCAGACGAGGGTACTGAGAAGACCAGGATCCCGCGCGCGGGCGGTACGACGGAGCCCGCGCCAGGAGCAGACCCCGTCAACGGGCGCAAGCGGTCCAGGGAGCCCGAAGAGCAGACTCACGACCGCAACCTGCACGAATCGACTACATTGCGCGACCACGAGCCAAATAGACAGAATGGTACACGGTCGCCGAAGCGACAGCGGAGGGAATCGGAAGGCGTGGTGGTCGACAGAGGCCCTGCGCATGAATCCTCGACTATCCCCCACTCTAACGGAGGGCCACCGGCATCTCAAGACCGACACCACGGCAACGGTCACGTCTCTGCGGGACAACTCCCGCCGCCTCCCCATCACTCACAACCACGCCATCCGCATCCCCTGCCCCCTGCCCCTCGACCGTTCCCTCGCCGCGATAGCGCCAGCCGGGGAAGTAAGCCGGGGCAACCGGTGGATCCGATCCAGCAACGGATCGACGAGATTGTACAACAGAACATGTCCTCCCACGGGTCTCCGAGCTCTGCTCGATCTGAGCGACGGCCAATTGACCGTCATCGCAGCGACTGGGACGTAGAATCAGACGAGCGCAGACGACGCCCGTCTGCTGGTGGCAGGAAACCGTCCTACGAAGAACATTCGAGCCACTCCCGTGCACCACCTCCACCTGCTCCTCCACCTCCACCTCCGCCACCTCCTCCGGAAGAAGCCCGACCACCGTCACCGAAACCAACGAGAGCCGTTGAAAATGACGATGAGGGTGGAGGAAGTGAGGAGGGCGAGCTTTGATGAGCGTTGTTGTGCTTTTTTCTTACTTGTGGCTTTTTATCTTCATGAGAACCGATAGATATCTACTATGCACTGGAAGTTGCTGCACTGTATATAGTGCAACCCGGACGGAACCGGAAGGAACTCCCGCAGCTCGAGCAGAATCGTGCTCTTTGTCTTTTCTTTGTGCTAATTCATCGATGGGCCGGCATTGCTCATTCATTGCTACTTCGCTTGGCTTGGCGCCGTGTTGGTTTGTCTGGAGAGAGGCGAAGGGTCGGGGATGAGAGGGACATTTTGTACTATACCTTTTGCTTAGACTTGAATCATATTCTTTCGAGTGTTGTGTGGTTGGTGCAATTGAGATGGCGGCGCCATATTGATGATTAGAGCAGCTCTACGATGTAGCATGGATCCTATGCCAGAGCACTGCAACTACAGATGACGGCATCTTGCTAGCTGTATTATAGCTCCGTCACTTTTCTTTTTCTTGTACAGCACAGAGTACACTCTGAACACATCACCCATCGATGCTGGTGGTGGAGAGTATTCATGGGCTGGTTCTATGTCTACTCCCTGCTCTATATTTTGCCTTATTTCGTGCCTATACTCTTGGGTCCGGTGACTGATCGAAGTTCCACCGCGTGACATCCATACTCAGGCTTCAGAATGGAGGTGCCGTCTTTATTACATTCGCAAGCAATAGCTACCTACTGAGCGACTTATGTCTCATCCTAAAGCTCGATCTCCTGCACCTCGACCTCCATGGTCCAGTCGCCCCTCCACTCCCTCGCCCGGTACCCTCCTCCCTCCGCAACCACATGCCTCACGCTCATCCTCGATAGATTCTTCTCCCGCACCAACTGCACGCCTTTTCCTACCTCCCCAAGGACCCACTGCTTCGTCTGCTCTTCTCGTCGGTGCCCCGGCCGCGCCACTTCAGATAAACCCCCCGCGAAACCCATCCTGCACGGGACTCAACTGGAACCACAGACACGATGCCGCCGCACCCGCCATGCCCGCCCAGGGCAGAGGGAAGCCAAACACCGCTCGCTGTCCGGACTGCGTACACCGTCCCGCGATCAGGACCACCGTCAGATCCTCGTCGCTGTCTCGGTCGGCTGCCAGCGTCTCTGCCGTTTCGTTTTTCTCGGAGGTGGTGGTGTACGTCTTGCGCAACGCGAGTGCTTCGAACGCCACCGTCTCCGCCAGGACCATGCCCCACTGCGCTAGCACGGGGCGGGTTGCAATCTTGCTGGGTTGGGGCAGGGACTGCGTTGCGGGATGCTTGCGCCCTCTCCCTCTCCTTGTGGAACCCCTCCACCTGTCCGGAAAGCTGAGGTGCGGAGACCCGCGCCGTCGCCGGACCCTGGAACATCACCCGCCGGAAATCGGCTGGCGTGCGTGAGGTTGCTTTCCTCGAAGAGCTGGGCGGAGAGGGCGGGGTTGGCGAGCGTGAGGGCGCGGAGGAGCGCGGCGGGGGTTAAGGAGTGGGGGAGGGGGAGGGAGGGGAAGGGGAAGGTGGAGAGGTAGGCGAGGAGGTGGTGGATTTGGGTGAGGGCGTTGCGGTGGGTCAATTGGAGGGAGGGTGACGGTGTGCTCTGGGGTGGAGTGGAGGAGTTGGTGGAGGTGGGTGGTGGGGAGGAGAGAGGAGGCTTATTGTTTAGCTGTTGTTTGGAATGCAAGGTAGAAAGAAAGAGTTGAGGTTGAGAAAGCAGAGAGGAGAGATGAGTGGGAAGGGAGGGGAGATGAGGTGGAGGAAACCAGACACAAAAGACAAAAGAGTGTGCCTGACAGTCAGACCAGGCTCTCACTAGTTACCTCGTAGTCAGACTAGGAGCCCAGGGGCAATTGTTTGCTCTTCCCTCAGCCAACAATACTATAACAGCTCAACAAACAGTCCCTTTTTCCAGTTCCAGACCAAATCCAACATCGGCCCCAAACCCTAGCTTGTGCTGACGGGGGGCCAAACACTTCCCTACTACGACATCAACAACAGGATCGAAAAGAAACAGCCCCCATGCTCAGGTCCTCCAGGAGCCTTTGGAAGTCTCAACCTGAGACCCTTGCAGGACCATCTTGCCTGCAACCTTCATTTCCGTGACTGCCGCCTGGACTGGACTGTCACTGTCTGTTGATACTGTACATTGTAGTAGTACAGTCAACAATACGACAGATAGAGAGGAGAATATAAAGCCCCTGACTCTCCACCAGAAACCTCACAGACCCAACCCCCATCCACTCATTTGTGTTGTTTAGTTTTGTACTTCCCACCACCCTCATTTGACAGCCCCCCCATAGTCTACGGCTTTCTCACGCCGCACAATGAAAATCAACACTCTCTTCTCCCTTCTGCTCGCCACCCTCTCGACGGGGGTGACCTCCACCCCAATTCCCAACGCGGACCCCGATCCTCAAGCCCACGGTTCCATCCAATCCATCAACCTCGACAGCAGATCCGTGCACAATGTCGACCCCCTCCGCAAGCTCCCGGACATCCACACCCGGTCCCTCGACCTGCCGCTGGCGGCCGAGCTATTCAGCCGCGAAGAGGGAACCCCTCGGAACGACGACGACGACAACACGCTCTACACCCTCCTCACGCGGGACAACACCCCCAACGAGAACAAGAACGACGACAACAACAACAACGAGGAAGACGCGATAACCAACCTAACCCCACGGACCTCCACCTCCGCCCACCAAACCATCGAAGAAACCAGCACCTAGCAGCTCTTCGCCAAGGTCCACAACAGCAGGACCGCCGGACAGCTATTACGCCTTCACGGTCAAGTAACACGACGGGCGACGGGGCCGGGCGACGCCAGCCCCACGGACGTGCTGGCGGAGGCGCAGCGGGATTACGGGTTCGACCACATTCGCCCTGGTGGTGGGCAAGGTCAAGGACTACTTCGCCCAGCCGGAGCATCAGATTGTGGGTGGCTAAGACGAATGATTGTCTGACTTTGGTGAGGTGGGATTTGGAGGGGTATCTTTGTTTTTTTTTTTTTTTTTTCTTTCGCACTTTTTGTTGGAGTATATAGTGGTTTAAAGGGGAGCGGGGAGGGGGGGGAAACGAGGATGCAATGTGCTTGGGAAGATGAAAGAGAAGGGTTGAGGGGTTAGGGCTTGGACTCATGAGAGGGGACATGTAGTTTTCATTCTGTATAAGATGGCCGGCATTCGCCTGGTATGGCAATTCAGTTGTCAGGCTGACCATGCAAAGAATCAATCAGGTCTAATTCAAAAGGAGCATCCGGACACATTGACATCCGTGTTTTCAGGGCTCGGAGGGAAGGATAACCATCGTCTTGGACTTCTTCTTTCTTCTTCCATGATACATGTTCCTGTGTGCCCAAGGATTCCGGGTTCACATTATTCGGGGGGATATTGACGTCGGTTCCCTACTAATCGTATCGAGCCAGACGCAATGACCCAGCAATGATACACGCACAAGGAAATAGAAAGCAATCCGTTTACTGACCATGAATTTGAACAGTCCGAGGGACTGTGCTGTGCACAAGGGTATACGTGACTTCCCTTTCCACCTCGAGCCACTCTGCTTCCTGACGGTGGTCAATGTAATGCATCCATTGGCACATGCGCGGCCCCGGCGCCCGACTGCTGCACAGTCACATGAATCTGACTCGTCCGCCAGATCCCCCGCCGCGAATCCGCGGCATCCGCTTCCCCATCCTGATCATGGGGGGGAATCGTGTCCAGCGGCAACTCCGACTCGGACGGGAGACGCTGGGCACCCGAGGGCTTGGGAGTGGTCGAAAGCTTGAAGGCGGATCCGCCGGAGTACGGATGGGAGGGATGGCTGTCGGAGCGGTAGCCCTTGGATTCGAAGGCTTTGCGGAAGAAGGGCCGGAGCGTGGGGATGCAGGCCGCCATGATGACGACGTTCTGCTCGATGCTGTGGACAGTGTATCCAGGAAGTCAGGCAATGATTGAGAGGGCGGGGATGGATAAGGGGGGGATGAGGACGGAACGTACAGGCCCCAGACGACTAGCGGTACTACATTATATACTGAACAACTTCCATGTTAGTCAACGGGGTGGGTAGTTGGGGAGGATGCGCTACTTACGTGGATCCGTCCGGTCCGTAAACAGATGCAGATAGGTGGCCTTGACGATGGTCACGATCGCCGAGAGCAAGGTCAGCCCCATCATGATGCACACCCCCACCTTGGTCGAGGTGCGCATCTGCAGCTTCCAGAAGACGCGGATGGGCACCACGGCCAGAACGATGTCCGTCATCGTGGTGTAGGCACTGACCCAGTAGGAGAAGTCGTCGAAGACGCTGGCGTCCCAGCACCGGCCCTCCCGCGAGGCGTCCCACAGCTTCTGGGTGGGCCGGCACTGGAAGAAGACGATGAAGACGGAGACCATGGCGAAGACGACCTGCATCGTCACCATAGCGTAGAGACCGCGCGTGCGCAGCGGGTTCGGGTCGAGGAGGTGGCTGATGAGGATGGCGATGGAGATGTTGGGGAAGCTAAAGGCACCTGCATCCCGCCCAGGCATCAGTTATCAAGAACTATCGCCGGAGATGAGCGGATATCAAGTGCAGGCGTACCGATGTTGAATGCTGCCATCATGTTAACTACCTCGGCATCGAACGCCTGACTGAGCAGGAAACTCACGGAATGCTATGATCTGCCATTTGGCCGTTTGGACATATCGGTCGGTGCCATGGTCGGCAATCACCGCCGCCGTATGGCGACCGAGCCCTAAGGTGACCGCGTACGAGACAAATGCTGCGGCGATGATGCTGAGGCCCTGCAGTACAGTACAGTGCAGTACCTCTGGTCAGCGGAGTCCCAGGTAATTATGCATCCAGTCCCTCGCATTCATGCAACTGGGTAGGTGAATTACCATTGAAAAGAAAATGAAGAAATCATCCCATCCCAAGCTCTTCGCGACATGTCCTCGAGCAAACAGCTTCAACGCGACCACGGCAATGGCAATGCCAGTGAACACCCAGGCTACTGCATTGATCTCGGCGGCTCGACTTTCACTGAAATCCACATCCGTGTCGAATGAAGCCATTCAGACTGCCTCGAACCACACGGTCGGACCGTGCCGTCTGCCAGCCTCGAATGCTGCAATGGTGGAAGGTGAAGGTGCCCGCCGCAAAGTGGCCCAAGCACGAGAGATGGGCCGGTTTTCTCCTCGATCTTGGAGAACAGGCATTGGCAAAATGGGGACGTCCACGTAGGCTGTGTCAAAAACGCACGATATAAGGAGGGCAGAGCGTGAGAGGAGAAACGGTTCCGGGAAAATATCTCCTCTGGCACGGGCGTCATTCGTCGCAAATGTTCGGCGTGCGCCACAGGCTCTCTAGCGGCCCTCGGTAAACGTCACAGGTTTGGAAGGATCTGGTGCGGTCCAAGTTTCTGCGAACGATATTACGATTGAGAAGCATTAGTACCATGGAGCTAAGATGTCCGGGTCCGGAATGTAGGGTTTCGCGGAGATGGCGGGAAGTGGAGCGGCAATGAGTCTCCATTTCCAGCCTGCGGATCGTTCCGTTGTTCCCCAGCTGGCTCGCTCCTCCATCGTTGTTGATGGATCTGAGGCAAGGTGAGTACGAGACCGTCTACAGTCCGCAGTATTCTCTCTTCAGTGTGGGTAACCATCTCAGTGATACAATACGTATCTCGAAAGTATTGCGAGACAGGAACGGGGCGGGTTACAAGCCCCGCGTGGCTCGCAGTCGAAGGAGCGCTAGCATGCGTTAACCCTCTTAGCCTGACGGCGGTGCCTGTGTCCGGTCTTTTCGCTTCGTCGCTACAGAATGGCATGACGGACTTCCAACGGAGATGGTCTTAGCATGCACTCTGGAGGCCAGCTGTCTCTAGCAGACACCCCTGTCTCGCTGCATGTACAGAACGCATATGCACCCCGGGGGGTTCTTCCTATAGTATGTACTGTACGGATACAGTACCTGCAGCAGGATCCTTGTCTGCCACGGGGACAATTGCAGGGATCTTTCATCCTTCGAGGACTCAGCCTTTCCCTACATAAATCTGCCCCTATCACTCAAACTCAGGCACCGAAGCTGGGGTCGAAGATGGACGGACGACTGACTGCCAAAGGCGAAAGCCACTTAGCCTCGTCTCGAGCAGACACACGTGTTGAGATACAGACAGACTGTTTCTATCCACTTCTCCATGGGCTAGAATGTGACTAGCTTGCACTGAACATGGCAGCCGTCCATCTGCCGGCTACCCCGCCTGGAAACGTGGAAAGATATATGAAGCCCATAACAACCCCAGGAACCCCTCAATGCGCTTCTCTCCATTTCCCACTCCCCCCTTCACATCAAAACCATGACGAATCCCTCCGTTTCTACCATTCTGGAAGACTTGGCCGCAGCAGGCAAGGCCTATGACCAGGCTGAGCCTGGGGCACGGGAAGCCCTCATTGACCGCAGCCGTGCCCTGGTGGCCGCACTGGAGATGCCCAGTGAATTCATTCAACGCAGCTTCTGGGCCGAGGTATGAGCGGCATACCCTTTTGATGTAAAACACCTACTAACGCACTCGCTTGCGACACCCACAGCCCGCCATGTCCGCCATCATCCGCATCGCCGTCGACGTCAAACTCTTCCAACTGCTCCGCGACGCAGGGGAAGCCGGGCTGAGCCCGTCCGCCCTGGCCGCAAAGACGGGCGTCGACGTCGTGCTCCTGCAGCGATTGACGCGCCACCTGGTGGCGATGTACCTGATCAGCTTCCACCACGGCGCCTTCCACGGCACTCCGCTGAGCGACCAGCTGGCGGCCGACAACTACCAAGACAGCATCTCGTTCTGCTACGACACGGCGCGCCCGTCCTTCAACAACTTCCCCACCTTCTTCCAGAACACCCACTACCAATCCCCGCCCGTCGGGAGCCTGAACGGCCCCTTCCAGAGCGCGCATCGCACCCCCCTGCACTTCTTCGACTGGCTCGTAGCCAACCCGCCCAACCTGCCACACTTCGACTCCTTCATGAGCGCCTACCGCGCCGGCAAGGCCAACTGGTGCGACCGGGGCTTCTACCCCGTGGCAGATCGCCTGATCGCCGGCTTCGACACCACCAGCGCCGCAGGCGTCCTCCTCGTGGACGTGGGCGGCGGCCGAGGCCACGACGTGACCATCTTCGCCCAGCAGTATCCCACCCATCCCGGCCGAATCATCCTGCAGGACCGCGAGCCCGTGATCGCCGCCCTAGACGCATCCGCTGCTCCCACCACTCCTGGAGCATTCACGGCGCAGGCGCACGACTTCTTCACGCCGCAGCCGGTCGCCGGGGCGCGCGCCTACTACCTGCACTCGATCCTGCACGACTGGGACGACGACCGAGGCATCCAGATCCTGCGCAACCTGGTCCCCGCGCTGCGCCGGGGCTACTCGCGCGTGCTGCTGAACGAGATCGTCGTCAGCGAGGAGCGGCCGACGCTGGCGGCCACGAGCATGGACCTGATGATGCTGGCGCACTTCGCCGTGCGCGAGCGCACCGCGGCCGAGTGGCGCGCCATCCTGGCCGCGGCCGGGCTCCGCGTCGTGCAGATCTACACGTATCCCGGGGTGGCGGAGAGTTTGATTGAGGCGGAGTTGGCGTGAATTTTTTTTTTTTTTTGAGTCGTTATGTTTTCATTGTCTGTCGAACGTGTTGGTTTTTTTTTTTTTGGGTATGCCCCGACAGAGATGGAGAGGAGATCAAGGTCGGATGAGGCGGGTGACTTGGGGAATTGGCGGCCGGAAAGCTGCAAGAGAGAGTTCATGATTAGATATGTAATAATAGTTGGATGGAAAGAGTTCCTCCCGTCCCTCCCTCTCCCGACTGATGCTGTAAATGCAGTGGACTTGTAGCAAAGTATGGGAGGGGGTTATGTCAGACAAGACCCCCTCAGTGCAAGTGTTGAACAACACCTTGGAGGTATCTGTATGCACTTGAAATCACATCTCGAACCCGCCCGGTACTGCTCGCATGCAGGTCCCGTCAGTGACACACCACACATGGGAACCTGTTACTCTGTATATTGTCCTTCGTATCACTTAGCACCCCGTGCCTCCTTTCATCTACTACACATTGTCCATTAGTCCCCCCTCCAAAAGGAAGAGAGAAATAAAACATGGGAGGAGGCAGTGGACATGGCCAAGGTATTCCGATTTAAACGCATGTACAGTACTCGAAAGGGCCGATGCGGGGGTTGAGGTTGAGGTTGATTTTCCAATGATACTGGAAAGATGGGAATGCAGAGCTGATATAGTTGTTGATTCGGTCAACCACTTTACTGAAGGGGCCGTCCAGTGGGGATGCATAACGGTTTGGTGGCGGGTGGGGGGATAAGCTACACGATCTACTCAAGTCGCTGGGGCCATATGACTACGTAGCTGCTTGAGCACGCACGGCTCTTGTTTACATACTTGGACGGGGCGCTTTGAGATGTCAGACTTGTCAGCCATCGGCTTCACGGCTACCGTAACGCTGAAGACCATCCGAGTTATTGTTCAGTCTGATCGATATATCATGAAAAGCTATGCAATCTGCGAGTCACGCCGGAAAACCACCATCTATCGCCTCATCACACCCCAATCGCCTTGTCCAGCAAACTGCTCGGCGCCACGAAACTAAACCCGCCAAACGGATTACTCTCGCCCAGTCCCAGCGAGACCGGCGGCACCGCCGCCTGAGATGCCTTGTAGTGCTCGTCAAACCCATGCACGATCGGGCTGAGCGGCAGCTGTGTGAAGTCCACCGAGAAGTTCTCCGCCAGCGCTGGGTCCGTCACCACGGGGACGATGGGCGGCGTCACCTCGCGCCGCTCCAGGGCCTTCCAGTCGATCTTGCGGAAGAAGCGGTGGTTCTTGATCGTCTGCAGATCCTTGGGCATGTGGTACCCCAGCCGCTTCGCGGGTTCCTTGCGGAGGAGGCGCGTCAGCAGGTCCTTAGCGTCCGGGCCCAGGAAGTAGGGCAGGGCCAGTTTCTGCTTGAGGATCTTCTCCTGCAGCTTGGCAATGTTGTTCGCCTTGAAGGGCGGGGATCCCGTCAGCAGATCATAGCCCAAGGCGCCGAGGGACCACCAGTCGCAGGCCTTGCCGTAGGGTTTGCCCTGGATGACCTCCGGGGCCATGTACTCGATCGTCCCCAGCGACGAGTTGCAGCGGTCGTCATCGCTGACGGCGATCTTGCTCAGCCCGAAATCCGTCAGCAGCAGGTGCCCTTCCTTGTCGAGCAGGCAGTTCTCCGGCTTGAGGTCCCGGTAGATCACCCCGACCGTCTGGTGCAGGTGCTCCAGCGCCAGCACCATCTCCGCCATGTAGAAGGCGGCCGCGTCTTCGTCGAACATGCGCTCCATGGCCAGGTGGTGGAACAGCTCGCCGCCCTCGGCGTACTCCAGGATCAGGTACAGCTTCTCGTGGTCCTGGAACGCGTAGAACAGCTTGACCACGAACGGGTGGCGATTGACGCTCTCCAGGATCATGCGCTCCGTCTTGGTCTGCTCCACCAGCTTCTTGTGCACGGTGATCGACGCCTTGCGGAACTGCTTCTGCGCATACAGCTTGCCCGTCAGCACGTGGCGCACCAGCAGCACGGTCCCGAAGGATCCCTTGCCCAAACAGAGCAGCGGCTCGAAATCGTCAGACGCCATCTTGCGACAGAGCTGCCGAGTGCGCACGTCCCGCCCGTTCGACGCCTCCTGCGACTTTTCCTCCGCCACCGCATCGGCGCTGACGTAGTCATGCTCCAGAGGCACCTCGTAGCTGGTCAGGACTTCCGTCTGGTCACTGTCCGAGCAGACGCTGGCATTGCTAGGCGTCTCCGAGCGGGGCCCCTGGCCAGACAGGCTCATGGAATCCAGCTGAAGCTTCAGGGCGCTCACCCCACACCCGGTGGCAGGTTGGACCAGCGGGCTGCTAGGGCCGGTCCCGGTTGGCGCGCGGGGACGGGGACGGGAGCTCGGCGCGCGCGAACTGCAGGCCGAGCGGTCCGAGTCCTCGTCGCCCGAGCCGCGAGGGGTGAACCCGCGCACGGTCGAGATGGCCGGAGCCACCGCGTGAGCAGCGGCCGCCTGCTTTTTCTTCTTCTTGCGACGGTCCGCCTTCCCAGCCAAGAGGCTCCCATTCATCTCCGGCGCAGGGAAGGGTTTGGCGCCATTGACCCCCGCGGGAGGCATCATTGCAACCTTCCGCTCGGGACTACGGGCGCTGATCCGGAAGCCGGTTTCTGGGCCATCGTTCATGGTATTGTCCGCACGAGAGTGCGACATGTCGGCCTGCGGGCTGAAAACATCCGCGACCGAAAGGTCATCCGGTGTCATGGTCGCCGAGAAATCCATGCCTCCACAAAAAAAAGAAAAAAAGGGCGAGATACAATTTCGCAAGAAGAGACCGATCACATGCACTCAGGCATCGACAATCTCCAAGTACGCTCGTCCGTGCGGCAACCTAGTTGTGATCTGAACAAAAACAGTTAGGATCCATCAGGCAGAGATACATATACACAAACACGCATGCGCGGGGTAAACTCCAAACCGGTTTTTGCAGGAGACGCAAGGGGATCAAAATGTAAACTCACCCACACACACACACACACACACCAATTGTAGATCAAGGATCCAAAGAGCACCGCGCGCGCAACTCTTGTGAAGGAGTGGATTCGCAGGGGTCCCTCGAGACTCGCACCAAATTACCGTCCGCCCTTATTCAGGACGGACCCTGGACCCTTAGCCAAATCACCTCGCCAGCAGTGAAATCGGGCGAACGAGTGGATGACACGGCCTGGGTGCCAGCCAGAGTGGAGTGATATCGAGACACCGTAGACACCGTCGAGGGGGAGAGATCGGGGAAAGCGGGGGAATCGGTAGGGCAGCCAGCGGCGGAGCAGCGGAGAAAAGCGGACGACAAAAGCGTGGATGGCGCAGACAGGCACATAGAGATACAACGGGGCTAGGTAGCCAACGAGGCAAGTGGGTTGATTGAAGAATAGGAGGTGAAGGTGAAATAACACAAACACAATGAATGTGGTTTCTAGGTTGTGGGGATCAAACAAAATTCCCTTGAAGAGGGGGAGAGAGGGAGATTTAAGGAGGGAAAGGGAAAGGGAAAGTGAAATCAGGCTGAGGACTCGGAAAGCTGACACTGCCTGAGGCTGCGAAACAACCAAGGCCGATGATGCCCGCTAGGCCAATCATCAGCCGCCGGGTGCTAAGCGACGCTAGTCCGCTTCAGGACAGAGCTGCGTCACGTGTCGCCGTCATTGGTCCCAAGTAGGTCAGGCCTCTCTGTTGCCTATTCAGGTAATTCACTTGCTGGGGCATCTCCAGTTGGCGGGCATTCGTCCGAGTGACTTGTCGCATACAAACCCAAAAGGATGATCTCTCTCTATCATATGGCCATTGGTTACCCAAGCACAATTCATATCCAATGAAATTTTAACAGGAGGTACAATACATCCTTCCTACTCAAAAAATGATTGCGACCGAGTAATCTGGACCCCAGATCGTTCTACAAACGACAACGCGCTGGGCTTCTGAACCAACACCGTCACTCGCTCATTCCCAAACTCCATCGTCACAATGCGCGCCACGAAAGTGGCCAGCGCCTCGACCGTCTGGAAACTCGTAGCTTCGACCCGCTAACCCCAACATCAGCAAATGTTCGTTCACAAAAGACACACAGCAGCAATGAGCGTTGCTTACCTCTGCCACCGCCCGCGTCATGGCCTGGTAGGTATTGATCACCGTGGACCCCCAGGGCAGCTGACCGGGGCCCTTGAATTCCAACGAGACGATGACCGCCTGCTTCTCGACTCGCTCGTGGGAGTTGACCCCCAGAATACAATAGCACCGAATCCCATCGATCCGGAACTCCTCCTCCAGCACTACCGGGCACCGCTCGGCCTCCGCCAGGTTGTCCACCGCAGCCGCCCCGTTCCGCTGCCGGTACCCCCAGACGGTCACGCTCCGGTATTTGAGTCCCTCCTCCGCGCGGAGCAGCGCCTTGGGCAGCTGCAACGAGACCTCGCACTGTCCGAACACCGCGTCGATGGGCGGCGGGACGGCCGCCGCCGACGGGTTGCCGAAGATGGCCGCCTGGGCCTGCGCCTGGGAGCCCGCCGACGCACTGCTCCGGCGCCGGGTGTCGTGGTGCTGGTGCACATGGGACATCCGCCGGACGCCGGCGGCGGTCTCGTCGAGGAGGCCCAGCCCGCAGTTCGCGACGATCCCCGCCGTCAGCCGTACGTCCTCCCCGAGCGCAGCCCCCAGCATCTCATCCCGGCGGCTGCCGTCGAGGCTGACCAGCTGCTGCGCCGATGCATCGCCCGACTTGCCGATGTTGCGGATATCCTCCTCCAGGCGGCGGTAGAGCTTCCCGTAGTCCAGTGATAGAGAGACATCGTCGGCGATGGCGGCGGCGACGGCGGAGGAATAGGATAGGTTCAGCGATGCGGAGCAGGGCTGCGGCTTGCTGGGTCGGTGCCATGGGTCCGGGGCCGCAGGGAGCGTCAACTGGATGTTCTGGAGCCGCACGCTGTCGAGCACCGGCGGACGGGGTGGGATATGGACGTTTACGCGTTGATCGGCCATGATGCTAGCTGATGGTTGGGCAGAGATCAATGGACGGATGATGTGGAAGAGTAAGAGAGAGGTTACGAGCTGAGGGGGAAGCTAGCTCGCAGCGGGTGACCGTCGGGAGGATGCTGAAGCTACCGAAATTCGAGACCCTGCCGTGACGTCAGCCCACAAAACGTCAAAGTGAATTCAAAAGACTCAAGGACAGGTAACTTCAGGGAAAATATCTCGCACCTATTATTGATTCAGAGAAACCCCCGTCTAGCACTGGTGTCAATGCGACAGGCGGAGGGGGAGAAACCAGTAAGTTAGTCGAGTCATAGGCAGAATAAAGTGGTGGGGGACCCTCCGTCTTTAGCGCGGGGAACTTTCTTTGTTGCCTTGCTGCCTCGCGCGTCTTTTGCCCTCCTACACCCGTAGTAGAAAGACAAGTGAAGCTTCCATTGTTTACTAGCCACTCCGCCAACCGCTTCCCTTTCACCTTTCAAACAGGGTTTTTATTCAGTAGATCCAATATACACATACATATGCCCATGGAGAGAAATGGAAATTCACATCGTTAGATATTACGTCGCAAAGGGTTGAGCCATCCAGGGTCACGTGCTGCTACATCAGTTGGCTGCGCTGATGGCAACCAAGAGAACAGGTTTCGCGCGCGGAAACTCAAGAGACCAGCCCAGAGCATCGATCGCCGAATCATTGGGTCATCATACCACGTCCGTTCATGATCAGAAGCGCCTTCGTCTCTTCGTTCGTTATTTTCTTCTTTCTTCGCCGCCTTTCGTCTGCGGTGTACACACATCCGCAAGGTATTTTCAGCCGTATCCGGTCCAGGGGTTCAAGCGCAGGTGACCGGGGTCGGATTATTCTGGAGATCAGAGAGAAACAGAGCGCAAAGGAAAGCAGTACAAGCAGAGAAAAACAGGTCAATCAGAAAGCACAGTGGGTATCCGCCATGCACTTAGTGAAACACAATCAAATGACAGCAAGCGAGCCCCTACCAATAGCCGCGGCGTTCGTACGGCATGTACTCGCCCCGCGGAGGACTCCGGGGACGGGGGTAGGCTCGGGCTTGCATGTAGGGGTCATCGTAGTGCCGGGGTGGAGGTGGCGGACGAACATCATACGGATCCTCATAGGGTCGACGCGGAGGAGGGTAGTCTTCAATCCGCGGGCGAGGTGGCGTCCGGCGTCCGTACCCATCCCGTTCATAGTATTCCCGCCGCATGGGGATAGGAGACCGTTCCCGGTAATGAGCCCGCGGACTGTAGCCACGGGGTGCGGGAAATCGGCGGTCGTATTCCTCCATTGGGGGAAAGCTCCGACGAGGGGATCGCGACCGGTAGGGGTCACGGAAAGAACGGTCTTCTGGCGGAAAGCTTTGGATCTAGGGAGGAATGAATAATGTGAACGGGATGTGGATCGGTCAAGAGTCCTTACATCGGCGATACATGTCACACGAGATCCCTTGAACTCGCGCTGGTCGAGCTTCTCGACGGCAGTCTTCAAGTCGTTGGCGGTCTCGAACTCAACGAACCTTGTTCATAGTGTTAACGGTAATCCAACGGGGCATCCAGGGGAGAGAGAATGCGACGCACCCTCTGCCAAGCTCACGGCCGGTCTCGGAGTATACCACATCAAGGCCAGACTGGCGGGCAAAGTCTTTCAGATCCTAGAGTACGAATTGGTGAGTTCATTTCCCGGTGAAGCAAGTCTGATATCCGGCAGGTCCATGTGGCTGAGAGCAGAATGATGAGGCACCAGTCGCAAAGGGTCCAAAAAAAGACCAAAAATCAAGATCCAAGGCAGAATGGTCCAAAAGGGGCATGATGTTCTCCTTCCAGGTTGAGGTCGTCCAGTTTTCAATCTAGCTCGTTGGAGAGCCTAGATTGCTGCTCGTAGCTCCCAAAACGTCGCCCGCAGTCGGCATATATCCAAAACCTGGGCAGGCTGGGAATGGCAGACAAAATGTGTATTTAATAGGTAAAAGGCAAAAAGAAATAGGCAGAGATATCAAGGAACGCTGATGAGCCGGGCTTCAAGGCGTCCGTTCGTTCCTAGGGAAAGGGGACTTGGGCTGCTAACCTGCCAACTTGTTTCCGGGAGTCCAGAAAGTAACATGCGGAAGATCGTGCGGCGGGGGCGAGGCATGTTGGGACGGTCCATCGGGCCAGGGAAGTTTTCCTTGCGGCGCGGGCCACGGGCAAATTGCACGGTGAGGCGCTCGCCCTTAAAATCGCTGCCATCTGTGGGTTTATAAGGGTCAATGGGTAGCCCTGAAGGAGCTGACAGTAACACGTACGGAAGGCTAAAAGAAGAGTGTTCGTTAGTCAATGGCGAGTGACGTGGCTTACGCTTGCCAGGAAAATGGGGGCTCACCGGGAACAACATCTCGAGCATCCATCGCGTCTTCGTACTCGATGAAGCCGAAGCCATTCATCAATTTGATCTCTGTGATCTTTCCGGAGCCATGGGTGCTGAAATGCTCCTCGATATCCTGCTTAGTTACTGAATTGGCACTGCGACACCCACATGGGCGCCGCGATCAAAGGTCAGCTCATTGCGGAAAACAAAAAAAGTAAATGGATCCAAGAAAAGTAAAGTGAGAATCCTCCCCAGCAGTGTCCGGGTTCGAGGGAACCCTGCGCAGAGTGGGAAGGAGCGCGCGCAGGTCTGGTTCCTGGCTGACAACCCCAACAGATAGGATCTGAAAGCAGGAAAGAGGTGCAATGGCCCACTGAACCAAGGTCACTTGAGGGACTGGAAGACATCCATCCAGAACACATGGCAATCCAGTGGACATCCTGTTACTGTGGCGCAGATGGACTGGAACAGATTTGAAAGGAAGAAGTCCATATCGGATGGAAAGGAGACCTTGAAGAACGGATAGATGGCTGCATACCATTGCGGGGAAGGTTCCCGAGATAAAGTCGGGTAGACGAGACTTCAGTCATGGCTGGAACTCAGAAAGCAAACAAAACAAGTCGCGGGATGGTCCAATCGGCAAGAGAAAATTAACGTGTGGCCTCGGAAGTTCTTCCAGTAGGTGATCTGGGAAAATGAGCCACAGGTGAGGATGATGGCCCGGCTATTGTCTCTCCAACGGTGTGTACTCCAGGTAGCTAGTTGCGACAGAAAGGGTAGCTCGAGATAGTTCGGATTTCCTGGCAATCCGGGGGCCGGGGAATAGACGGTCGAGATATTCCGGATGAGTTTAGTAGACCTGGTGATAGGCAAATCAAGGGACACCACCAGCTGGGAACTGAAAGTGGTGCGAGGTGGCTATTGTTGGCGGGTTGTCGCAGTCGAGGGAAAAGGAGAGGGGGGGCGGAGGGGTTAGCGAGGTAGTTGTTGTCAGACTGTTTATTATGTCGCGATAATCTGATAGATGGACGGATAGGGGGGTACGGAGGGAATGAGTGAGGAATGAAGGACGGGTGACAAGAGTTCGAGAAGCTGGAAGAGGATAAGGAAGAGTAGTGGAAAGAAGAGACGAGAGAGAAAGAAGAGAAAGAGGAGAGGAGAAGAACAGGAATCGAGTGAGTGAGTGAGCGATCGTCACGGCGCGAAAAGAGGAGAAAGCAAAGAGGCGGCGGCGGCGGCAGAGCAGAGCGGGCGGGCAGAGTTGCGGGACTGCGACTGACTGCGAGCTGCTTTCCTTGACCGCCAGGGCAATTGTTTCGGACCACTGGCGGTGGAGGGCATCCAATGGCGGGCGACCTTGCCGGATCGCCTCACTCTGCGGTTCCACGTGGCCCCGCCTTGTCCAGTTCCTGACTTTGCCTTCAAAAAGGATGATATGATAGCTACGGTACTTGAAAGTAAATAGATGGATGGTGTTTGTTCAGGTAGAGCAGAAGGGTGGTACCTGGAGGGCTTTTATAGGAATGCTGAGCTCGCCTAATATTTTCTATAGACGGCCGTGTTGTTAACTTGATTAGAAGTTGCAGATGTATATATTCCCGTGACCAGAGGCCAGTGTATCACTCTCGACGTTCCAGTTCCCCCACACTGCACCAACACATTTTTTTTGTCGTGTAGCCTCATCTTTAGTGCTGCTGTGGAGCCCCAGAAAGGTTAGTGATAGGTACAGTACACTTACAGGTACATGTACCTATGGGGTAGCAAATCCGATACATTTTGATGTGTAAGAGGAGATTCGACGGTACATCACAACTGAGAACAATGAAGTAGTGAGTCCGTGACTCTATTGATCAAGTAATTGAAGGCCCAATGATCCACCAAGTCTGAAGCTCAGCGATCCAAAGTGTTTGATGGTACGGAGTACTGTACCTATGATATTGCGACAGCGAGGATATGTTTAGATTCTTCAGCCATGCCGCCTCCTCTCCGTACTTCCGGACTATAAGCTTTGAATTGATCAGCAATCAACCAGCATAGCCCTTCGTATCAGCAGTGACTGCGGATCTTGAGCACAAGCCCTTGCGGAATGCATTCATCCATCTCCGAACTCGAATCATTTGTGATGTATAACACCCTCAGCAAACAACATGCAATCTACAGATCAACCCAGCTGAACCGCGGGCTGGCAAAAGCGGATGATCCGCGCAGAACCCCAGCTAGGCTACGCAGGGACTAGTGGCTTGGCACTTCGCCCCCCGGGCTGTACGGTAGCAATAATACGAGTACGTCAGACTACAGGTGAGCCGACCTCGTTTTTTCGGTCGCGTGGCACGAAAATGGCTTACTAAGCAGTTTGGTCACACAATTTACAAGCCACCTTATTACTTAGATAAAATATAGATTTCATTCCACATTATCTTTTTAATACCCTTACATTTAACTGCTTCCTAACTGCTTAGAAACTATTTAAAAACTGCTTTACAACTATTTACATTAGGATTAATAGAACTCTTAAAATTCTTAGGGTTATTGAGATTATTAGGGTCTAATTACATTAGGATTATTATTAGGAATACCCTTTATTATTCTTTTACCTGAGGGTTCTTTATTAGGGAGTCTGTTTTAAAAGAAAATAAATTTCAAAGTAAAAAAACAGTAATATATAAGTTCGTGTGGCACATTCTTGCTTATTAATCTGCGCTAAGTGGGGTCGGTTCACATGAACATTTCAAAAAGTTCATGTGACATGTAAACACCGAGTACGTACTGTACTTCAATAGATCAATGCTTAGGAATGAGGCGAATGCACCGAGCCTCGACGCCGAAAGCCGTATGTACATGGCTCCATATCAAATGATCAGTCCCCGCTGCTTTTGCTACAACACAATGGATGTGCCTAATCAGGTCATAAAATACTTCGGTCCCTCGCCACCCTGAGGCGTCTGCCAGTTGATGTCCTGTGTGGGTACCTTGATATCGCACGTCTTGCAATGAATGCAGCTGTGTATGATTAGCAGTCGGTCAAGTGAAGGAGAGATGATGGAAGAGCTTACTTCTGAGCGTTGATCTGGAAGCGAACACCATGCTGCTTGCTGGAGTCCTCAACATACTCATATACACCGGCCGGGCAGAACCGGTTCTCGACACCCTGGTACTTGGGCCAGGCAACATCCGTATGCTTGTCCCAGTCCTCCACTTGCAAGTGAACGGGCTGGTCCTCCTCGTGGTTTGTGCCGGTCCGGCTGACGCTGGTGAGAATATCGAAGCTGATCACGCCGTCCGGCTTGGGGTACTCAATCTTGTTGCACTGAGAGGCCAATTTCGTGGCCGCGGCGTCGGTGGTGTGGTGCTTGAGCGTCCAGGGAGTTCGTCCCTTGAGAATGTACGCCTCAAGGCCAGAGTACAGAATTCCACCATAGAGACCAAGGGGCGTGCTGAAAGAGGGGCGCATGTTGCGTACCTCGTACAGCTCCTTCCAGATTGATGATTTGCGCAAAGCCTCCTCATAGTCGAAGAGGAATACGCTGCCGTCAGAGTTACCCTGCAGAGCTGCAAAGGTGGATTCAGCAGCCAGCATGGCAGACTTCATCGCGGTATGGGTTCCCTTGATCTTGGGAACGTTCAAGAATCCGGCGCTGTCGCCAATCAAGGCGCCACCGGGAAAAGCGCACTTCGGGATGGACTGGAAGCCACCCTCGTTGAGGGCTCTCGCACCATACGAGATGCACTTGCCGCCCTCCAACACTTCCTTGAAGAGAGGGTGGTGCTTGAGTTTCTGGAATTCACCGTAGGGCGACAACCAGGGATTCGGGTAATCCAGGCCCACGACCAAGCCAATGCTAACCATGTTGTCGCCGAAGTGGTACATCCATGCTCCACCGTAGGTATCCGACGGAAGAGGGTATCCCAAGGAATGCGTAATTTCACCGGACTTAAACTTCTCGGGCTGGATCTCCCAGATCTCCTTGAGACCAATACCATAGGTTTGCGGTTGGCTATCGCGACGAAGGTCGAACTTCTTAGCCACTTGCTTGGTCAAGCTCCCATGACAGCCCTCGGCCAGCAAGGTGACCCGCGCATGGAACTCCATACCCCGCTCGAAACTGTCTTTCGCCTTGCCGTCGCGACCGATGCCAAGGTCGTTGGTTGCGACACCTAGAACGGAGCCATCCGACTTGTAGACCACCTCACTGGCTGCGAATCCGGGATAAATCTCGACACCAAGTTCTTCCGCCCGCTCTCCTAGCCACTTGGTGAGCTCGTTCAGACTGATGATATAGTTGCCATGGTTGTTCATCTGCGGCGGCGCGGGGATCGGGAAGGACGAGTTCTGAGTCAGGAAGCGCATCTTATCCGCCTTCGCAGGCGTCGCCCCCTCGAAGCGGGACGGGTTGTCCTCCGCAAGCCAGTCGGGCAGGAGTTCGTTCAGCGCCGTTGGCTCAAGTACGTTGCCGGACAGGACGTGGGCGCCAAGTTCGCCGGCCTTTTCCAACAGAATGACGCGGAACTCCTCGTTGCCGGCTTCATTTGCTAATTGCTTCAATCGAATAGCTGCAGCGAGACCAGCGGGACCTATTTTAGGCGTCAAACGATAAGGGTCAGTCACTTTACACTCTTTCACTTGCGCGATGCATGCCACCCGCGCGACCGAGTCTATGTGGAGTCCCTACCGCCACCGACGATACAAACATCCACCTCATCCGATTCTCTGTCCAGCTGACGGGGATCGAAATTGCCTTCGGCATCGGTTAATCTTCGTGTTACCGATTGTGAGAAGGCGCATGTCTGAATGGGAGTGAATAGCGACCGTGGTCGAATGGCTTTGCGGTATGAGGCTGGCAAGGAGCGGTTGGAGGGCCGTGCAGAGGTTGCGAGTGATGACAACGAGGCGGAAGCCTTGGGGAGGCGCAGGGAAGAGGGTCGCAACTCGCGCCTCAACAGCGGCAGGACCGCGCCTTTGGAGGCCATTGTTTAGGCGATTAGGCGAAGAAGATGTGATGAAGACTGAAGGGGGAGCAGATAGGAGTGGAGACGAGGGTCACAGTAGGGCTGAATGTTGCGAATCCTATACTGAGATCAAATGCATTATAGACGGGGGATAGAGCGCGACAGTAGAAGGTAGAGGGGGTATCGTCAACAGGAGTAACGTTATTGTCGCCCTGTAAAATAGCAGTAGTAGCAGTAACAAACTACTAGAATCAGAGGAGTCACTCTCCGACCGGCCAGATTGAAGCACTGATCCAATGGAGGGAGAAGTGTGACTAAGAAGATGAAGGGAGAGGAGGGAAAAGGTGGTGGATTGAAATTTTGGTGGTCGGCCCGAGGTAACGGCGGCCAATGGGAAGGCGGATAATGTGAATCAAGCCGCCCTCAATATTCTACTAGGCAAGACTACTTCCGCCCATACAGCCGTGAATCCCGTCGGGACATGCGCAAGGGCAGCAGTCATGTCATTGCAGTTAGTTACTGCTGTACAAATCCAATCCGTACTCAGTATCTTGCCATCCGATGAACCCTGAGTCTTTGGCCGACCCCGAAGCCGCCCCCGCGACTTTTTGCGCATACGTCGTGATGATCAAATGGTTCGCGTCGCCGATCTTGTGCTACTCAACACTACGAGTATGAGTAATAAGCCCATGACACTTCCACTTGGTCCAAATGTCACCTTGCCGGAGATAGCCGTGGCAACCAGGTGCAGTGGCAGGTACTTACTAAGACATGGCCTTCAAATCACATGAAGGCAACCAACAATCGAGCAGATTCAAATGAATCCCAGAGATACTGAGAAGATAACCAAAGTCCTGATGACGACACGCGATCGAGATGTCATGGTCGATTCCCGGTTGCCTGCCCGGCCTTATTCCCTGACACCCATGTGATGCACCGCAGCTGACAAAGAACTTGACACTCTAACTACTCCGTATGAATGTGGCGATGCAGCAACGACTGAATACCTACCGAATAAATAAATAAGCATCTGAATGCACAACGATGTGGCACAACGCGTCTCTAGTCATGTGGTCCATGTACATGCATGTACATGTACCATATCCATCTCCCCATCTACGGATTACTATACATAGTACTGTACTCCGTACTTCGTCCTCTTCATCTTATGCCGTGTATCGACCACCCCGAGTATTGAAACCCGATGGCAACAGTCGAGTAATGATGAAGCCTACTGTGTACCATTCTTTGCGATAGAGGCTTGGAAAAGGACACCTGGCCGGATTATGTAGGCCGGCTCAGAGACGGAAGGCATGCAGCATAGCCAGTCAGGAGGGTTGAAACCTGGAACGATAAGTTTGAGGGCTGGTTCAGTGCTGAGGTGATACTGGTCATGTCTGAGATTAAGATCGATTCGATAAATGAAGGTTCCCGGCCTAAAGTGACCAGTGCATCAAGGCTCAAGGCTGCAAGTTGACCGAATACCGATCGAGCTGGTGGATCACAGTTGGTGGTCTGAGATCCGGGGTACTGTACGTACTGTATTGCTCATAGGAGCAAGAAAGTACCATCGGCTGGAGCCTTGCCCTTGAGGCTTGTTGGAGGCGGCAGGCAACGCCAAATGAAAAGGGAGGACGCGTCCAGTCTACCGACCCCATGACGCGCGCGACCGGCTTGAAACCCTTCCCAAATTTTCCTGTCGCGGTCGGCCCAGCATCTTTTCCAGCCGGTTGATCCATCCTTCATCCTCCATCCTCCATCCTCCATCATTCTGTATCTTGATTTGATTCCTTTCAATCATAGCAATTCTCAGAACGCAAAATGTGATGAAAGGATAGTCGCAAGATGAATTCAGATCAGAAGCATCATACTCGACCGAAAATCCTTTTTTTGGGGCCGCGATCAAGGCAGCGCTGAGGCCCCAAACAAGCTCATGGAAAGGAACAGAAACCGGGCCAAGAGAGCAAATTTTTTTTTTTCCCTTCCATCTTTGCTTTTGTGGAGGGTTGGTTGCCAGTTGCTAAAGCGGCAGGACCGTGATGGCGGGCAGACGCGTTTTTCTCCCTCGCTATCTCCTAGTCGCCGAGAACAGCAAGCCGGCATGATTGGAAGGAAACGGAATGGATGGACTTTGCAAAAGTGGATCGCAGGAGGAACGCGGACTGGTCCAAATCGAGTGGCTGCAACCATGGCGCCGGTCGGGAAAAAAGAGTAAGGGGGGCGACAGCCAACGAGAACAGGTGCACGCCGGTGGAACTCCCAGACAATGTGTTTACCGTGGGTCCGCCGATCAACAAACCAGCGCTTGTGCTTGGGGGTTCTTGGGGGGTCTTGGGTGGTCTTGGGGGGGGTCTTTGCTTGGGAAAGCGAAAGTGGGCGGCGTTGGCCACCCTCCAAGAGCCGCTAGTGGAGCGTTCGGTCCATAGAAAAACACTGAAAACACTGAAAACACTAAAAACACACTCAAAAATACTTGTGCTAAAGCAGCCAAATGAGCCAAACCCATGGGTGACCGTCGCTGCTTTTGCCGCCTTTCGCCGCCGGGCCCAGCCCCCCCTGACGCCAGCTCCCCTTCTTTCCCTTCCTTTCCCTTCATCACCCACCCCCGGCTCCTGTGAGTCAGCCTATATAAAGGCCCAACCTCCCACTTTCCTGACTCTGTTGGAATTTTGAATCTGGTCTTGGCACCGCCCGGAAAGCCATACACACTCTTCCCGCCCGATATCCTCCCCCCTTCCTATCCCCCCCCTTATCCTCTCCACTCGTACAGTTCACAGAGCCGCTAAATTGTTAGCTGTCTCTACTGTTTTTCGCGCTGGTCTAAGATTCCCGGGAAGAAGTTCTTAGGAAGCCAAGAATTGGAAAAAGGTTGAAGAAGCTATTTTTTATACCTCTCCCTTTTTCTTTTTCTTATCTTACTACTACACTGTTTCAGATTCAGTTACTGAAACAGGAAGGTTGCAACCTCAGGTTCGCATCTTCATCGCTCTCTCTCTTTTCACATACACACGCACCTTCTCTCCAGACGCAGATAGACATCACCAATTCCAAAAAAGGAAAAAAAAAGTTTTTGTCTTTGATCATATCACGTGCATCGTGCATCGCACTGTCTTGACACTCCCTATTCACTCCGTGCTTGTTACCTCACTTCTGCAATAACCGCAGAGGTTGCGTCGAGTTGTTCCCTGCTCCCTAGAAAACACTTGGTTGTGCTTTTCTAGTTCTCATCCTCACCGTCCTCTCTCCCATCCTCCATCTGGGCTTCGTGGTACTACTTGATCATCATTCAGTCAGGCTCTTGTCACCTTGACTTGACTTGATTTGACTGGACTTGTGGGTTCTCGTTGGTTTTATCTTTGGCACTCTACCTCGAACCTCATTCCGTTTCATTCACCTGAAACGGTTCGTTGCTTGTGGGCAGTGTTGCTGTAGGGGAGACATTGATTTGTTCATCTCCCACAAAAGGGTACGTGACTCTTTCGCTGCCGTTGGGTGTTCCGGGTGTCCTTTTTTTTTTTTTCGCCACCCGACCGCCTTTTTAACTTGTCACCTTCGCAACCACCTCACTATCCATCCACCACCTTATCACTTACCTGGCCTTGCCTTGTCTGTCTTCCTGGACTGACTGAGATTATCGGTGCAGACTGTCATCCGAAAGCTCTCATCACCTCTTCAGCGTCGGCTGGTCTACGGCTCGAGTAACTCTCTACTCTCGTCGCGATGGATTCTCTCACAACTCATCCGGCCACTGCGCAGCAAGCCCGGGCCTTCACTTCTCCTGCCTCTCTGTCCTTTCCCGGTGGTGCTGGTGATCTCACGCCACCTTCCGAAAAAGACGCGCACATGGCGATGGCTCAAGGTGCCAACGGAGGTTTGAATGGTCAGCAGCAGGGAGCAAATGCCTCGAATGGCAACGGGGTGGCGCCCGCAACTCCCGCTGCTACTCCTGGTGCCAACACTCCAGGAAGCGGCATTGTGCCTACGTTGCAGTGAGTATACTCTTACTGTTCTCGTTCCTCTGGTTCACCAGATTGCTGAACAAGAATTTTTTCTATCTTTGAAGAAACATTGTCGCCACGGTCAACCTTGACTGTCGCCTGGACCTGAAGACCATCGCGCTTCACGCAAGAAATGCGGAGTACAACCCAAAGGTATTACTTTCCACATCCTCCTGAGCTGGGCACGTCAGGGGACATTGTGGCTGAACTGGTCTTTTTTTTCTCTTCCCATAGCGTTTCGCGGCCGTGATCATGCGTATCCGAGAGCCGAAGACGACTGCTTTAATCTTTGCCTCCGGCAAGATGGTGGTTACTGGTGCCAAGTCGGAAGATGATTCCAAGCTGGCCTCCAGAAAGTACGCCCGTATCATTCAGAAGCTCGGCTTCAACGCCAAGTTCACGGACTTCAAGATCCAGAACATCGTCGGTTCCTGCGACATCAAGTTCCCGATTCGCCTGGAGGGTTTGGCTAGTCGCCACCACAACTTCAGTTCTTACGAACCCGAATTGTTCCCCGGTCTCATCTATCGCATGATGAAGCCGAAGATCGTGCTCCTGATCTTCGTCAGTGGCAAGATCGTGCTCACTGGTGCGAAGGTCCGTGAGGAGATCTATCAGGCTTTCGAGCTGATCTATCCTGTGCTTTCGGGTATGCACTACTACATTTTTCTTCCGTCTCTGACGACGAGGTGACACATTCACTAACATGCGTAAAAAGATTTCCGTAAAGTTTAAGTCGGCCTTGTGGCTCGAACCAGGAAGATTACGCCGTCGCCTTCTTCCACCTTTCATCGACATGTATTAACAAAACTTTTCTTCGTCGACTCGCTGTGGGCGCTTCGGACACATCGCCCGTCGATCGATTAGTCGTGGTTTCTCTTGTTTCTTTGCGCACGTTACGATTCCTCATGCTAGCATTTGTACGGCGTTCTAGCGACTCGGTTTTTGCTACCTGGTTGTCTCTTTTATCAAACTCAAATCGTCTCACCATCTTAGATAGTCGCACACCGCAGATCAAGGGGGCGGTACTGTGCGCTGGTCGAATGGTTGCCTCCTTCTAATTACTGGTTTTTCTGTTCTTCGCCTTCGGGCAGCGTCTCATACATTGGGTCATACCAATGACGTGATGCTTTCAACCTCTGATTGCTTTTTGCTCAGTCGGATGGTTCTTCAACAACATCGCAGCACCAAAAAGATGGAAAAAAATTCTTTACTGTTTTAGATCTTTATGGAATGTTATGAAGTGGATGATTGTACCGGGAGAATGAGGGCTTCGGGGCTATGCCTAGTTTATGGCTGGCATAATTACGGACTCCTGGTTGCTATACAAAAAGAAAAGTTCAAAAAAATCCTGAAACAACTGTCCTCTTGTCTCAAGTAATTCGTGTCTCGTAGTTGTGTATACATTATTTCTGGAAGGTCTTGTTGCCGTCCACGGTGAGCACATGCAGAGTGCAGCAGCAGTTGCCGGCTTTGCGGGGAAGCCGTTCGCCTCCTCGTTCGGCATGGTCCAACCCGAGCGTCATTTCCACAACCCAGCCTCGCCGCTGTCTATGCCATAGGATCAGTACTTATACCAGCTCTCTCAGTTTATTCCGGATTTATGCTATCACAGATGTTGTGCGTATCGAACTGGCCATCCGGAATTCAAGGCGAGTTGTTATAAGATTCCCGACATTCCCCCTCGCCGTGCTACAGGCTTGTTTCTGTCGGTTATCTCGGGGCAAAAATGACGCGAGTTCTCATATGAAAGGAGAACCCTCTCCCTATTTGGACTCATGATCAATGATTTACAGGCTAGTCTTACTCCCATCCTCCTTTCACAAGTAACCTCAAGATGGCAGAAATCGTTGCCCTCGCGTTTGAGCACTCCCTGTCCGGCTTCGGGATCCAGTATGACGCGCCTCGTCTGTCGTGGAAGGCTACTTGTTCGAACAAGGGTATTCGCGATTGGATCCAAACCGCATATGAGATTGCCTTGAAAGCACCGGAATGCCACCAGGAGGACGAAGGACATATCTATCGAGTTGACAGCCCCGAGTCGACGTGGGTACCATGGCCGGGCCCTCCGCTGCGCTCACGCGAACGTAAGTTGATTCGCGTGCGCGCTCACGGCACCTGGACCGAAACGACAGGAGATCATGGCACTGAAGCTGAAAAACATGCTGGTTTCACTGCGTGGTCGACATGGAGCGGGGTGGAATGCGCTTTGCTCAGCCAGCAGGACTGGACCGCCGTCCCGATGGTTCACCCGGCGATCGGAGGCGACCAGACCCTCAGGCCGGTCGTTTTCCGGAAGACCTTCGAGCTCCCTGCCGACTTTGGGACTGTGGATCATGCGAGACTCTACGTGACAGCGCTGGGGATGTATCGGGTCTATCTGAATGGGGAGCGGGTGGGGGATGAAGAGTTGGCACCGGGCTGGACGAGCTACCACCATCGTATGGCGTACCGGGTTCATGATGTCTCTGCCGGGATCGCGGCTCGCAATGTGCTGGGAGTGGAGGTGGCCGAGGGGTGGTATGCAGGCCGCCTGGGGTTCAATGGTGGTAGACGGTGCCTCTACGGCGACCAGATCGGTGCGCTCGTTCAATTGGAGATTGTTGGCGGCGCCCGGAAGGATCACTTGTTGCAGGTCGTGTCGGACAGCAGTTGGAAATGCAACTTCAGCCCCCTCGTGCGCAGCGAGATCTATGATGGCGAGCTGTACGACATGCGCGAGGAGCTGGGGGACTGGCACGGCGACCCCGACTACCAGGAGATGACGACGGCGGCGGCGGCTTGGACGCCCGTCGTGACGCTGGCTTTGCCAGAGGCATCCTTGGTCGTCCCTCGAGCGCCCGCAGTACGGGTTACACAACATGTTACAGCACGGCGCTTGTTTACCACCCCGTCTGGGCGCTTGATTCTCGACTTCGGTCAGAACCTGGTGGGTAAGCTCCATGTGCGGGAATTGGCTCTGTCTGCCGATGCTGAGGTGAGATTCACGCACGCGGAGGTATTGGACAATGGGGAGCTGGGCAGTCGACCGCTGCGTCAAGCCAAATGCACCGACGTGATCGTTTCCTCCGGAGAGATCCTCAGGGACTGGTCTCCGAAATTTACCTTTCATGGATTTCGCTTCGTGCAGGTAGACGGATGGGACCCCCGGTCCTCATCGGTCTCTTGGCAGGAGAATATCACCGCATTAGTCTTGCACACAGACTTTGCTCCGACGGGGGATTTCGAGTGCTCGAATGATGCGATCAATCAGCTGCATCGCAACGCTCGGTGGAGCATGCGAGGCAACTTCGTGTCCATTCCAACCGATTGCCCCCAGCGGGACGAGCGGCTGGGCTGGACTGGTGATATCCAGGTCTTCAGCCCGTCGGCAACCTTCTTGTATAACTGCGAAGGAATGCTGGCTGACTGGATGGAGGACGTAGCTGCAGAGCAGCATGGCGATGGAGGAGTGCCCCCACTTGTCGTGCCGAATGTGCTTCAGCACGTCTGGCCTCCGATGCCGCAAGCTGTCTGGGACGATGTGGTGATCATTCTGCCGTGGAATTTGTACCAAGCCTCGGGTGATGTGGAAATCCTCCGGCGGCAGTATCCCGGCATGAAGGCATGGCTGGACCAGGGGGTTCGTCGGGGCGACGATGGACTGTGGGATCCGGACCACTGGCAGCTCGGAGACTGGCTGGATCCCCAGGCTCCATCAGACGAGCCAGGGGATGGACGAACTAGCGGCGCGCTCGTGGCAGATGCCTACTTGGTGCGCGTCACCAGAACCCTGGCACAGATCAGTCGGCTTCTCGGGCAAGAAGCCGACCACATCCACTACCAGCAAGAATCCGACCGACACCTTCAAGCCTTCCATGCCAAGTATGTGACTCCGAGCGGGTTAGTCACCGGCGACTCCCAAACAGCATATGCTCTGGTCATTGTATTTGGCTTGATAGATTCCGAAAGCCAACGTACAACCATCAGCCGCCAGCTGTCACGCCTGGTGCGTATGGCCAAGTTCCGCGTGGCCACGGGGTTTGCCGGCACCCCCATAATCCTCGAAGCACTCAGCGACAGCAACAATCTTAGTCTGGCCTATCGGATGCTGCTCGAGGATAAGTGCCCATCGTGGCTCTATCCTATTATGCAGGGGGCTACGACCATCTGGGAACGATGGGATAGCCTGTTGCCGGACGGGTCGATCAACCCCGGCGAGATGACCAGCTTTAATCACTATGCTCTCGGGTCTGTTGTTCAATGGCTGCATGAGACCGTCGGGGGCTTGGTTCCGCGCGAGCCCGGGTGGAAGATTGTCTCTGTGTCTCCTCAACCGGGCGGGCCTTTAACCTACGCGGTGGTTTCGCATGACTGCCCGTATGGGCGCTGGTTTTGCCGGTGGAAACTGGGCCCTTCGCAGGATGATGATGGCACGAAGGTGCTCACGGTCGAGCTCGACGTGCCTCTGAATGCAACGGCCATCGTTCGACTGGGCTCTGAGACGGGGGAACACAAGGTCGGATCCGGGCATTATCGGTTCCAAGTCCCTTTCGTCCCTCAGCCTTATCCGCCAGAGGCCATTGCTCCATTTATCACTAACCCAGGTCAGGGTCTCTGATCCATCGGCCCATTGTCTGTCGTGACTAGAAATCTGGAACGAAACTAGCAGAATTTTCAATGCAAAGTCTTCTAGCGGTACGATGTCTCGTACTTGTCGTATGCTGGATACGTCCTCGACGTCTACATCAAGGAGGATCCACTCTAACATAAGATCTCTAAATCTATCTATTGAACCAATATAACTCCGCTCAGAACCACTATAGATACATATAGTACATCCAGATCTACAAGCATAATCTACACCGCAAGCGTACCGCTCCCAAGACAGCAGCACAATATCATCGAGCCACACTCTACTCGGCCGTCTTTCTCGCCGGCCTCAGAACATACTTCCAAGTCGTACCAAAATGCCAGCGTTTCTCCTCGACGACCTCCAACCCACTCTCCCTCACAATCTCCCCGATATCGCGATTCCACCAACACCCATGCCGATCCGCATGGGCGGGGGCCAAATTGTCCAACACGCGATTCAACCACGCATAATGCGAGCGACCGTGCTCCAGCAACAGAATCTCGCCCCTCTGCGGATCGACCACCGTCCCCAAATGCCTCAGCGTACCCACGGGATCCGGCAACGAGCACAACCCCATCGTTTGCACGACCGTATCAAAGTATTTCTTGGATTGACCAGCGGCCGCCGCCCCGATAATCTCGGGACTCGGCCCCGCCCCGACCGCCGCGGCATCCTCCACGCGAAACTCGACCCTTTTTCGGACGGCATCGTTATTCTTCCCCGAATACAGCTCCTCGAACTTGCGGCGCGCCATGTCCACCATCTGGGGACTCAGGTCCACGAACGTGACGGACCGGCACCCGCGCACGCCCACCGCGCCCGTCCGCTCGTCGACGATGCCGCGCCGCGGCGGGCCGAGGTCGTAGTACTCGATGTTCCGGCCCGTGCCGCAGCTGACCTCGAGGACGTCGCCGCGCGCGCGGCGGCAGAGGTCGCGCCGCTTGGCGCCCAGCCGCATCAGCTTCTCGGACATCTCGACGTCGGCGTCGAAGGTGCGCGCCGTCGTGTTGTAGCGATCCGTCACGTTGGCCGGGACCGTGGCGGACAGCGTCTGCGAGTGCGTCACTTCGCGTCGGTACGAGGCGTACAGGTACCCGATGTAGGTGCTCAAGCCGAGCGCGCTGACGCCGATAACCGTCATCACGCGCGGGCTCATCCGGGTCGTTGTTGAGGGCGGGTGGTGGTGGAAGTCGGTCAGCGTGGGGTGCGCGCGTTTGGAGAGGGCCGGGGTGTATTCGGGGTGGCTTTTGAGGGGGTTGGGTTAATTTGAGCTTTTGCTTTTGGTGTTCTTGGGGGAGAGATGATAGTCATGGATAAGGCTGGATTAGACGTGCGTTACCTTGGGGCTGGTGCTTTCAGCTTGTTCTTCGCGCCGGTACGGGGAGCAGCGTTGGCGGGCTTCGCTGCTGCTGCGGCTGCTGCTCCCTTGGCGGATTTGAGCGTGGCTCGGCCTACACGCGAGGCGCTCATGGTTATGATGTTATTTTGCTATGTGGTGAGAGTGTAAGGCCCAAGGGAAGGGAGAAGAGTGTCGTGGTTCACGCCATGAGGGGGGTCACTGACCGGGTCGAAGGTCAGGTCCGGAGAAGTTGCGGCGGATTGCGGCGCGGGTGTGGTGGTGGTGGTGGTCGGGGAGAAATTGAGAGATACGCCGGAGCGGAAGCCAAGAAAGAGACCGCCGCCAGTTGTTGGTTAGTCCTCGCCGAATGTCACTCCGTCTAGTGCGGCAGCTCAGCTACCTAATCACCATCGCTCAGCTTTACACAAACAATATCAGGACGGCGGATGCGACCATCATTCTACCCTTCTTGCTTCAAATAGTTTCTTTCTTCCTTGATGTCCTTTCAATTGCCGAAAAGCTGAAACCGCTCGAACCTCGTGGTCCTTGCTTGGCATATTCGCGTCAAAGACAAGTTCTGGTGCTTTGTCTACAATGACTGTCTCTTTCAAGCTGTCCCCACTGACAGGATGAGGATCACGTCAGTCCTGTCCACACTACGGCAGGGAGTCTCTGTGAAGAGACTAACGTTTCAATTCTTCTGTAGAAAAACCATGGAAATACGGATACACGTGGCTAAGACATCACAGACACACCGGCTTTCTACCCGCGCTAAAAGGCGTACGTAACAGCATGCCAGGGTGCAGATTGACCCTTCGGATCTCCCTGAAACGCATGTCTTCTTTATGCCGTCCGACAGACCAAGGGTCAAGAGCTGCTATCGCCACGTGGTCGATCGGTCGAGACTTTGCCTTATCACGGCTCCATCATCGCTGTGATGATCTGTGACGGAGATCCGGTCAATTTCCAACCCTTGGACACCCCATTCATTGGAATAGCCGGACAGCCCATCCCCTACAGGCTGGATTTATCAGCGACCATGATGACCCTATGGTTCGCGGGTCCAGGTCCCTCATTCCGAGTGGTCTGGCCCTGACGCCAGCAGAAAATGCATCTGATTCGCGCTGAAACAGAGTTCGGAATAAGGCTGGATCAGACCCCTGAGCGAGAGAGCTCGCCATTCTGGATCGGGGGTTCGAGTTAGGTCATAATGGGCAACTTGTTCAGGCACGGTGGACCACGCAAATTCTAGCGCAGCCGGCTATAGATCAAAAACACTGCATTTTCATATCCGTGGACCATCGGAACCATGATAAGCAACGCCTTCTGTGGATCAATCCCCCATATAAACCAATGAGCTCGTTGGAGAGCTCTGACCGGTGGAACGGGGCGGCTTTACGGATATCGGCTTTACGGATCTGCGGATATGTGCACTGGCAGTAATTGCGTATCGCATATGCCACGCAGGAAGCCAATTCATAATAAAAGAGTCTGAGCTTCCTCGAGCTGTCCAAAGGTGGTTTCAGCTACGTCTCTGGATCTGACTGAGTATTCGAAGCTCCATGGACCGTGATTCTTAGGTATGGACTCTCCTGCCAAAGCTATGGCGGATATACTGACCGGGACACCCACCCACAGATAGCTACGACCTGATCGGACCTATCAGCAAACATGGACACATCATCATCCTCAGCAACGGTCGACATGGAGTCTGGGGCCTCCGATATCCGGAAGCGCTTGACACTCACATTCCGAGATGTCAGCGTGAACGTTACCGCACCTGATGCGGCCCTTGGCGAAACACTATTGTCGGTGGCCGACCCGCGACAAATCACCGGCTGGTTCCAAAAGAGCCGGCGACCCAAGCGGACAATCCTGAAAGAAATCACTGGCCAGGTTCGACCGGGGGAGATGCTCTTCGTTCTCGGTCGTCCCGGTTCCGGCTGTACTTCTTTTCTCCGAGTGTTGTCGAACGATCGCGATGCCTTCGACGAGGTCGTGGGCGAGACCCGGTACGGAAGTATGGACCACAAGCAGGCAAAGAAGTATCGACAACAGATCATGTTCAACAACGAAGACGACGTGCACTTCCCTACGCTGACGGTCAATCGAACGATGAAGTTTGCTCTGCGGAATAAAGTACCTCGGGAACGGCCTGAACATCTGCAGGACAGGAAGGCATATGTGCAAGATAAGCGAGATGATATATTGGACTCCTTGGGAATTCCGCATACGAAGAAGACTCTGGTCGGAAATGAGTTCATTCGAGGTGTCTCTGGTGGCGAACGGAAACGTGTGTCATTGGCGGAGATGATGGCTGGTCAGGTATGGTCATGATTGTATCGCGACTCTGTGGATTGTATTGCTAAGAACCTTTCTTCTACAGAGTCCTGTTCAGTTCTGGGATAACCCAACTCGAGGCCTGGATTCAAAGACGGCAGTGGAGTTCGCTCGCATGCTCCGACGCGAGGCAGACCAGAACGAGAAGACGATCGTGGCTACCATGTACCAGGCGGGCAATGGCATCTACGACCAGTTCGATAAGGTTCTGGTGCTGGCCGATGGTATGGTGACTTACTACGGTCCGCGGGCGATGGCCAGAGCTTACTTTGAGGACATGGGCTTCGTTTGTCCTCGAGGTGCCAATGTCGCCGATTTTCTCACCTCCGTCACCGTGACCACGGAGCGCATTGTGGCTCCAGGCATGGAAGGGAAGGTGCCCAATACTGCAGCTGAATTCGAGGCCTACTACCGCCAAAGCTCGATTTGCTCTCAGATGCTCGAGGACATCCAGCCACCAGAGAAGCTGGTTGACGAAGAGATCAACTTGGCCAATGCAGTGCTGATGGAGAAGAGAAAGCAGCACATTCCTCGGCCCCAGAGCGTCTACACGGCGGGTCTCTGGCATCAAGTCGTCAGTTGCACAGTTCGGTGAGTGAAGCTGAAGAATGATCGAACCCGAGCTGGTACTGACATCGATCCAGCCAATTTCAAATCTTAGCCGGTGATAAACTATCTATCATCATCAAGGTGGTATCTGCTATTCTCCAGGCTCTTGTCTGTGGTAGTCTGTTCTACAACCTCAAGCTTGACAGCTCTTCCATCTTCTTGCGACCCGGTGCTCTCTTCTTCGCAGTTCTCTATTTCCTGCTGGATGCCATGTCGGAAACAACCGCGTCTTTCATGGGTCGGCCGATTCTCTCGCGCCAAAAGAGATTTGGCTTTTACAGGCCAACAGCCTTCGCGATCGCCAGCGCCATCACCGATGTTCCTATTGTCTTAGTGCAGGTCTCGTGCTTCTCGTTGATTCTGTACTTCATGGCTGCATTGCGGATGGATGCTGGCCGCTTCTTTACTTACTGGATCATCGTCGTTATTCAGACGCTGTGCTTCCTGCAGATGTTCCGAGCAATCGGTGCTCTCTGTAAGAAGTTCGGTAACGCGTCGAAGATGACTGGGTTTGTCTCAACAGTATTTTTTGTCTACGGAGGTATGCAACGGAAGCTCGCGTCCAATGAACCAAGCTAACCGGGGCGCAGGTTATCTCATTCCCTTCGAGCAGATGCACGTCTGGTTCCGCTGGATCTTCTACCTCAATCCCGGTGCCTATGCGTTTGAAGCCCTGATGGCCAACGAATTTGTCGGACTTGAATTGGACTGCGTGACACCTGATTATATTCCTTACGGATCTGGCTACCCGGCCGGTGCCTCGCCTAATCGTGGTTGCACAGTCAAAGGAAGCACAGACGGTGTGATTAACGGCGCTGCTTACATTCGGGAGCAATACAGCTACTCCTTCCATCACATTTGGCGCAGCTTCGGTATCATTGTTGGTTTCTGGGCATTCTTCATCTTTCTCACTTCGCTGGGCCTCGAACTGAACAACAACCAATCTGGCTCCTCTGTGCTCCTGTACAAACGAGGTGCCAAGTCCAAGGTAGCCGATGAAGAGGGATCCAGTGCTTCCAAGTCAGAGGGCAATGCTCTTGCGCAAACAGGTAAGCAATCCACTTTCACGTGGAATCATCTCGACTACTATGTTCCCTTCCATGGGGAGAAGAAGCAACTCTTGCACCAGGTGTTCGGGTATGTCAAGCCTGGTAACTTGGTGGCGTTAATGGGAAGTTCGGGTGCTGGCAAAACCACGTAAGCTTGATGACTACCCATGTTTACAGATACCTAGCTAATGTGATCTCAGATTGCTTGATGTGCTTGCTCAGCGGAAGGACAGCGGTGAGATCGTCGGATCTATTCTCATTGACGGACGACCTCAAGGTATCAGCTTTCAGCGGACTACTGGGTACTGTGAACAGATGGATGTCCACGAGGGCACAGCCACCGTGAGGGAGGCTTTAGTTTTCTCGGCTCTGTTGCGTCAACCTGCCAGCGTGCCACGTGAAGAGAAAATCGCCTACGTTGACCACATCATTGACTTGCTTGAGCTCAGTGATATCAAGGATGCTTTGATCGGTGTTCCGGGCGCGGGCCTCAGCATTGAGCAGCGCAAGAGAGTAACCCTAGGCGTTGAGCTTGTGGCCAAGCCGACCTTGCTGTTCCTGGATGAGCCGACCTCCGGCCTGGATGGGCAATCGGCCTACAACATTATCCGGTTCTTGAGAAAGCTCGTTGATGGTGGCCAAGCTGTGTTGTGTACGATTCATCAGCCATCCGCAGTTTTGTTCGATGCTTTTGACTCGCTCGTTCTGCTTGCGAAGGGAGGCAAGATGACCTATTTCGGAGAGACTGGCGAGGACTCACAGAAGGTTCTTGATTACTTTGCGAAGAACGGTGCTCCTTGTCCACCTGACGTGAACCCTGCTGAGCACATCGTCGAAGTGATTCAAGGCAACACTGAAAAGCCGATCGACTGGGTTGATGTCTGGAGCCAGTCTGAAGAACGTGAGATTGTACTCCGAGATCTTGAAATACTTAACAAGGAAGCCGAGGCGAACTCGACCGGAGAAGAGGACCACCATGACTTCGCCACCCCCGTCTGGTTTCAGTTCAAGATGGTGCTCGAACGATTGATGACTCAGTTGTGGCGCTCACCGGTATGTATCGGATGTAAAGCCAGACAGCTTGGTGCTAACGATCGCAGGATTACATGTGGAACAAGATCATTCTTCACGTGTTCGCTGCCTTGTTCAGTGGCTTCACTTTCTGGAAGATGGGAGACGGCACTTTCGCACTTCAACTGCGCCTGTTTGCTATTTTCAACTTCATCTTCGTTGCCCCGGGCTGTATCAATCAGATGCAGCCGTTCTTTCTG